CCCCCCCCCCCCCCCTCCACTTTTTAATTCTCAAGGAATATATAATTTATTCGCTATTATTGATGGTTGATAGTTGCCAATCATGATTGTATTTATTGATTGTATTTATATGGTCCAGACCCCCTGTATCCCTATCTACTTCTCTACTACACATTACACCCTCCACGAAAGTTGCCATTTTCAGGCTAGCCCGCGTGCAGGCCCAAGGGAACTGATAGTGGGCCGGCAAGCAAGGCCCGGTATTTTGTAAAACGCGGAACCAATGACAGCACCCAAATATTAACAAACAAACTCGCATTAAAATGTTGCGGGGTTTTCTCTGCTTATTCAGAACACTAATAAACAATGTGTACATGGCTGCGTTTTAACTCAAAAAAAGCAAGCAACGCAGTCAGTAATTGCCAAATTTGCAAGTGCTTATTTTCAACTAAAATCGGAACAGGCAAATTAGGACGAATTTCAACAGAAAACCAGTCTCAAACTTCAAATCGTGAGGGAAGTCGTGCGACCACATTAGCATTTATAATGTGTGCTTCGCTGTTGCCATTGTTATAAATAAATTGTCTCACTTATCAGATCATGTGTGCAATTCTTGTTGGCGGCGGAAAGTACGAAATTTATTTCAGTTATTTCATTTGGTAAAGAACTCTACAAAAGAAGAGAGCGTTCAGAGTCCAGATCGTTTCGTTTCAAACGGCAATTTAATACCGTCTTCTGTTTCGCTTTCTCAGCGAAGCTTTGTAAATCGCAAAGTGTTTCGAATAGGCTTAAATGCAACTGCATCTCAATATCAACCAAAAGATAATTTTCTTGAGGAACATATAACGTATCAAGTCTGTTTGAAATTAATGAAACTCAAGTAAAGGTTACTATAGTTTACCCCAGTCGTAATGAGTGCTATTCCAACACCTCACGACAAGCAATCCCCATTGGCATAACGGCAAAAACATCTCTTCCTTCAAGTAAACAATAAACACTCTGTTCTTGTTCCATTTATAATCGAAAAAAGTGATCAATTTTCGAATTTTAAGCTTATCGAGAGCCTTTGTGATGAATCACTTATCTAATTATAGAATCTAACAGCAAACAGCCAATCAGAATGCCGCGTTCGTGGGCGAACGCGGAAAGTACAAAATACCGGGCCTTGCTTGCAGGCCCACTATCAAGTTCCCTTGAGCCTGCTCCATTGGGCCTGCACGCGGGCTATTTTCAGGCTAGTGTGAACGCCTGAGCAGGCATCTTGTTTCCTTTAGGTCTTCAAATTAATTTGCTCTCCTTTACATTTACCTTTTTTTCTTAAATTAAACAGTGAGGGTAATTTAGGAAACTTACAGCTTCTTTGAAAAGGAAAACAGCAGTGCATGTTTTACGCAATAAATTATTAAAGCAACAAAATTCATAATCATATTAATGGACCGATCATAAAGTATTTACTAGGGGGTGTGGAGGATATTTTTTGGGGCTACGAAAAAAAGAGAGAACCTCTGAGGGGGGTACGAAATAAACAACAGAACCTCTAGGGGGTTACCAAAATCCTAGTACTATAGGTATGGGAAAAAATTACATTTTATAACTATTGTTGAATTTGTGCCCAGATTTAAGTTTGGAAAGTATTGCTTTACTATAATTATTAAATCAACACAAGATATATGTTTTAGTCTGACTCAGTGTCAGATGATAAGTAGGGTTCAGTATCCGTTGAACATTTGGAGTACAAATCTGAAATCTGATACACCTGAATTGTCAATGCTAGCAAGTTCAAAGCAGCATTAGAACTTGATGAACCTGATGAGGAAGTGTCACATGAATGGTAGCAAATTTTTCTATTTGAAATAAACCAAAAGGGTATGGAACGGGCTAACGCCCGGAACGGCACTCCGCGCTGTTGACTCTGGGATAATGACAATTAATATCACGTATATTGTACAATGATACACGAAACTTTATTGATTGTATATGGACAACCAAATGGATTTAGTTTTAATTTTAGTTTTTTTTTATGTTAATTTTAAACAAAACTGGTAGTAAAAACTGTATTAATGTCCCTAATTCTTTATATTATTCTGCCATATCGCTTGTCGTATGTTTAAAATTGACAAAACGTCTGAAAAGGGTTGAAAAAACCATGAAAAAAGCCACGATTCGCAACTGTCCAATAGGTTCCAGTCCAATATCGTAAAATATTGGATCGGCACGTGACCCTCTCAACGATTACTGCCTGGTTAAGTGCGCGTGAGTGTATAATAATCTTGTTGTCGAACTTTTCCTGCGGCGAACCTAATGCAAATGAAGTGAAACAAAGAACTTAGCTCATTAACATTAGAGTCGACGCATGAAAAGTTTGAAGTTTGACCCTGGCCTAAATTACATTTTCGTTCGCTCTCGTCTTTACTCGTCCGATGCGTACGAGATTAATATATTATGCAATCCAATCAAATTTCAGCTTTTGACCAAAATACTTTTGCATGCCTGCATATTCGTTCGTGCTACGGTGCAGGTTAACTATTTAACCACGCTAAAGGGTAGATTTTTAACTGCCAAGAATTGTAGTCAGATTTTTTTATATAAGGCAATTCATTTGGGGCAAATATAAGGCTTCTTATTAGTTCCTGTTGAAGTTCTGTGTGTATATAATAGATGATAATACTGAGGCCAAACACGGAAAACTATTATCGCATTCATGTTTAGTATGTTTAGAAACGAATGTTAATCGTTGCCAATTTCTCAGAGCTTTTATATGGAAGGACTATAGTCTCCTAATTCCTAAACTCTTAGGAGTTGAGTTTGACAAGAAGTCGCTGATATAAGCCGTGTCTATTTCTACAATGTACTTGATATATGTTTGTATTCTTAATTTGCCTTGAATTATGTGTCTGAGGGAGAAATCAATGAGACCAAAATTATTCTGAATAGTTTATGCATGCATGAGCAATCTTTATGAGCAGCCGTGAGCATTTTAAACAACCTTGTAGACAGGCTTTTCTCCTTCGCTTTGCCAGTTTTCATAAACTTTTTTTCCTAAAACAATCACATGCAACCTGCTTACAATTCGAGTTGTACTGTGACAACTAACATAGGCGAGTTGTGTTTTTTGATTTACACGTCAGTACAACTCAAGTTGTAAGCAGGTTGCATGCGGCAGCTCTAGGCAAAAGTTGTCTAGTGTAAATGTCGCCTTAATGCTGTATTTATAACACATAGACTGCCGTTTTTCCAACGATGGGCCTTCGCTCGAAACGTCGGAATTCTGCTGGTAGTTTCATCCCTCTCAATCCACAGATGTTTTTTTATCGTCGCGTCCGTCAAGGCGATCTACGCACGCGACTTTGTCCGAGTATAGGAAAATAATTATATCAACTAGAGTCGATAGTTTACGTTTGCGCTAAATTGTGCAGACGAATTTTCATACGAAATATCTTTCCTTTGTCGCCGAGACAGATCATCCGGATGGAAGGGAAGGTTTTCGACAGGACGCCTATTTTTGAAGATCGTTAAAACGCGAATCAACAATAATAATAATCCTGTCCCTGAACACCTATCTTTAAAACCTCCGTTTATCCCTTCTAGCTATTACCCTAGTATAAAGTGAAGCATTAAAATACTTAAACAAGAAAACTTCCACTCGACTGCTCACAATCATTTACATGTTTTCGTCTTCTTAAATTTAGGACAGACGACTAACCAACTCCCGTACTATGAAGGTCTTCCTAACAGTTTCAACGTTCGGGAGGATGCCGAAATAGGTAATGTTGTATGTCTTCAGTTTGACTCGAACATTGCGCGTTTTCTCTGGGTGCTCCCGTTTCGTCCTGTCGTAACAGTGAACAAATAATGCCTACGGCCATACGCCTAGGACCTCCAAGGAAATATGGAATAAGGACAACAGTTTCGAAATGATAAATAAAAACCAGTATAAATAAATTTAGTTTAGTTTAGGTTTCCTCCTGTAGTAACACTGGACCAATAAGGGATGACCCTTACTGGATCTCCAGGAAAAATAATATAGAACTGATAGAACCATCCAGTATAAATAATGTTACTTTAGTTTAGCTTTCTTCGAGTAACGACACTGGATCAATAGGATATGACGTTTACTGGATCCTCTAGGAAGAAGAGTTTAGATCTGATAAAACTATGCAGTAAAAATAAAGTTAGTGTAGTTTTGGTTTCCTCGTGTAACAACACTGGATCAACAAGATAAGCATGACGCTTAATTACTGGACCTCTAGGAAGAACAGTTTAGATCTCATAAAACTATCCAGTATAAATAAAGTTAGTTTAGTTTTGGTTTCCTCGACTGGATCAATAAGAAATGATGCTTACTGGACCTCTAGGAAGAACAGTTTAGAGTTAATATAGCTACATGTACATATTATAGCTAATAGAGTTTATTTTGTTTTCTCGCAATTTTCTAGGTTCTATCGTTTCCACAATTACTGCCAGAGATCCGGAAGGGGAAATCGTAACGATGTCTTTGGATGGAATTGGAATAGATATACTGAACATCGTGGATGAGTTTGGTATCGTTAACATGACTGGACCTAGTCCTTTGAGACGAAGACTGAGCCTGAAAAAGAAACTGGACAGAGAGGTGTGTTTGGAGTAATTGGAGATATGATAGAGGGATAAGTGTTGGGGTGCGGTGTTGGGGTGGGGTGTTGGGGTGGGGTGTTGGGGTGGGGGGGGAAGGAAATGCGTCTAGTACGAGTCTACGGCAAGAAAGAACGCAGGTCTTCCTCTGACACTTTCATTTCCTCCTGGCTGTAGTAACAATAAGAGCTGAGTTTTACTGCCCCTCTAGGGAGAACAGTTCAGAACTGGTAAAGCTATCCAGCAAAAATTAAATAAATTTAGTTAGGTTTTCTCCTATAGTAATACTGAAGCGAAAAGTGCTGACTCTTGCTGGACCTCTACGAAGAATGTTTCTTTAGCTTAGGTTTCCTCCTGTTGTACTATTGGAACAATAAGACCCCGACTGGATCCTTAGCGAGAACAATTTTGAACTGATAGAGCTACCCAGTATAAATAAAGTTAGCTTAGTTTAGTTTAGGTTTCTTCCTGTAGTAACACTGGAACAAAAATTAAGGATGGCTCTTATTAGATCTCCAAGTACTGATCTATCATTTTGGTTTTTGATTGTTTAGGCGCGCAGCAGTTATATTTTTCAGTTATCTGTCAAAGATTACTTTACATCAAGTGGAAGAGAGGTCAGTACTTGCATGCCCCATTTAGCTGTATTATCTAGCCCATTGACATGATCCATGGACGTAGCTCGCGTAGTGGGAAAACATTTCAGGAAGGGGAAAGAGACGAAAGATTTATTACCTGCATTTCTGGCGTTCTGTTTTGGGTATACCGTCTGGCACGTAGGCATCTATTTGCCATGCTTGCTTAATTAAATTCACTAAGCAGTATCGTACAGTACATGGTGGTGAACCTGCAGTTATCAGAGTGAGAAAATATTGCTCATTCTTTTCATTGTATGTAGTAGTCTTGAAAGTTGTAGTTTTATTCTTGTGTCAGCATTTCCAAACTTGACCACCATCTGCTGTCCTGTTACGTCTACTGATACCACCTAAATCTTGTTTCAGTATTTTTACCAGTCATTCATATTTTTCACAGTCTTATACAAGCAATTTGAATCTGTTTCTTTTCGACGTCAATGATAACAGTCCTATCTTCATTAAAACACCTTACATCACCAGTCTGAAAGAGGTAAGGAAACTTGCATATATAGTTGTCTGATTATAATTTCACTTCCGTCATGTTTACCAAGAGTGCTTCCAGTTTGACTCTACCAAACAAGGCAAGTTTGCTCCTCGTATTCTGGTTTCCTTCTGTAGTAATACTGGATCATTACGGAATGGTTCTTTCTTGACCTGCAGAGAGAACAGCTAGGATCTGTTAGAGCTATTCAGTATAAATAAAGTTAGTTTAGTTAGTTTAGGATTAATAATATTTTTTTATTATTATTATTTAAAAATATTTTAAAACGGTAGCTATTCAGGACTCGTTGGCACCTGTTTTTCAAGAGACCGTTTAGTTTTAGGTTCCTAGGACCTCCAGGGAGAACAATTTAGTAGTAATAGAGGTTTCTTCCTGTAGTAATACCGACTGAGCTAATAAGATATAGCCATACCTTCCAGTATAAACAAGCTTACCTTGAAAGATGCATTAAATTATTTCAGAACACTCTAAGTGACCATATATACCAAATGGAAGCCGAAGACGCAGACACGGGGATGTCGAAAAGTGTTCTCTACAGTTTTACTGATGAATGTAAACTTGCTGATTGTGAGGTGAGGGATAATCAGTAACATTTTATGAAACTAGGGCGTGGTCTTAGGTCTTCTTTTCTTGATGCCCTCTCCATTGATGAATTTTGGAAAGGCATTGTATCGCAAGGTGGTTTGTACTTACAGAATCTCTCTAATTTTTTAATTTTGATATTGTTGTAGCTGTTTCAAATCGATACACTGTCCGGGATAGTGAAACTGAATTCCAATTCAACTTTGGATTATGAGACGAGAAATCTATATAATCTCGATATCTTGGCCAAGGTATGAAAAACCCATAACCATTTTGGAACTGATAGAGCTATTCAGTGTAAGTAAAGTTAGTTTAAGTTAGGTTTCCTCCAATAGCAACACTGGATCAATAGGAAATGATCCTTACCAGACCTCTAGGAAGAACAGTTTAGAACTGATAGACCTATCCAGTATAAATAAAGTTACTTTAGTTTAGGTTTCCCCTGTAGTAATACTGGATCAATAAGAGATGATTCTTACTAAGACCTCTAGGAAGAACAGTTTAGAAATGATAGAGCTATCCTGTATAAATAAAGTTAGTTTAGTTTAAGTTTCCTCCTGTAGTAACACTCGATTTGGAAAAGTTAAGAACTAATAGAATCTCCTATATTTTTCAGGATCGTGGCATTCCGTCTTTGAATTCGACAACAACGTTAGTCGTCAAAGTCGAAGACCAAAGTGACCAACCTCCAGAGTTTTTGAAAAGGTCTTACCGTGCTGATATCGATGAGAGTGCTCCTGTGGTAGGTAGCGATTGATTAAAATATTATCTCGATTGATTAGAAAATTATATCGATTGATTAGAATGTTACCTCGGTTGATTGGGATATTACCTGGATTGATTAGAATATTATATCGATTGATTAGAATGTTACTTCGGTTGATTAGAATATTATCCCAACTGATTAGAATATTATATCGATTGATTAGAATATTATATCGATTGATTAGAATGTTACCTCGATTGATTAGAATATTACCTCGGTTGATTAGTAATGATGGGCGATACCAGGAATTTTAATTCGATACCGATACCGATACTTTTAAGATCGGTACCTATTTCGATACCAAAATAGACACAAAATTTCAGTTTTCGATACCGAAAGTGAGTACTTAAGAGGCAGTCTCTGTAAGAACCTCATGACCTCTTTGGATCAAGAAATAGATTTCTCTCAAACTTTGTACTTGAGATTGCCTTTATAAGGTTTGTTTCAAAATGCATTTTGTTTTCAGTGTAATTGCATTTTGGCAAAGTTCCAGGGGTGTCAAGTTGAGGGCTAAAATTATGATTTTTGCTGTTTCTCAATAGTGGATTTTTACTGATTTTTAAACCTCTCTACATCAAACAAAAATAATGATAAAACTAAATCGTTTCACACAATAGTAGCCTTATATGTCTTAAGTAAAAAGGTATCTACACCTTTTTCAAATATGTTTTCTAATTATAGAAGTGACATCATTCATGACAGACTAAAATAGAGATTTCCAAGTTCCTTAAAAATTGTTGAAATAAAAATCCTAAAATTCAAAAGTTAGACTTGCCATGAATGTAATATTATTTGTATGGTGAGATTAAAGGTTGGTCTTACATAATGTAAAATTAAATATTGCGGCCTGTAAATTTTGGGGGTACTACAGGCCAACAAATAATCAACATTTTCGACTTTCGTTAGTTTAGATCAAATAAGAACGTTCACCGTTTACTGCAAACTCTGCTTTCAAAGACCGAAATTTTACTTATTATTTTGACCTAGAACAGTGATAACATTCGTTTGACCTTTACTGTTGTCTAAAGTCTTTTAGGAAAATGCACTGACACAGGCATTTTCGTTAAGTATGGGCCGGATTGTATAAATAATAAAAATTTTATAGCTGAATATGAACAAAGACAAATTATAAATTTGCAACAGGTAAAGATGTCCGTTAGTCAACAAATGATCGAACATCGATTTACTTTGAAGATTATTTAAAAAGTTAAGAGAAAACCTATCCCAATATAATTTATACAAAGATAATATATGCCTCGATCAACGAATCGATTGTCAGTTGACATATTATTTGACATTCGTCAGCTGCCATTATTCTTTAGGGTTTTAAATTAATCACTTTCGACATCTTATGATTATTTTAGACACAGTCTCATATGTATAAAATCTTGCTTCTTTTGTCAACAGGCAATGCTAGTCATTCCTCCATTGTTATAACTCAATTTTGTTATTGTTATATTGCGGAAGCCGCTGGCCAGCCAAATAATTCGGCTGTCAAAAACACGTGCAACATGTCGCGAATTGTTTGCTTTCGAAACTGCGGGTCAAACTTGGCAAAAGTTTGTCAATGTTTGGTAAAAGTTATGAAATTGTTCCCAATTCTAAAAAATTCTAATATTTTGGTTATATTAATTTGTCCGGTTATATTTTAAATTGACATAATATATTTACCGCCTACTTGCAACCAAATTCCTGTAAATAGAACAAGAGCCCCTTGATGAGCTAACAGCTCTTGGGCAATTGTTATATCTTTAATATTAAAATGTGTTTATTTAAAATATTTGTCCGGAAATAATGTTAAGCTTTGCTCCGTCAAGAATGAAACAGACTAAATTTAATTTTTCTAAATACATAAACATTTCTATATTTGGAAAATATATTAGAAAAATTTATAGATACTTTGTCAGTTAAGGCATATAAAGCTACTATTTTTCGGAAGGATGTAGGTTTATCATGATCTTTGTTTGATGGAGGCAAAATCTTCCAAGGCTACAACGGCTGATCGCATTATTAATCCCCCCCCCTATTGAGGACATGTGGAGCTTCCAATGGCCCACTGCAAAAGTGAACCAAAATTGAAGGAATTTCCATGGGAGGGTCCAAATTTTAAAGCAAATCTGCGGAAAATCCACAGGGTAGGTAAGAAAAATGAGTAAAACGTATGGAATTTCCATGGGAGGTCAAGAATAGAAAAGAAATTCCAAAGGATAGGATGAAAATCAGCAAGGAATTTTCCAAGGGATAGCTACTAATCAAAGAATCAGTACGGAATTTCCACTGGCTAGATCAAAAACTGTCAAGGAATTTCCATGGGATCGATTAAAAGTTCATAAAAAATTTGCGGAAATTTCTTGGGCATGGCTAAAATTCAATAAAAATCTGCGGAAATTCCACAGGGGAGGCTAAAAATTCGCTTAAAATATCTGGAAATTCTAGGGGAGGGGGGGGGGACAAAAAATGGATGTCCTCGATAGGGGGGTGCGGATTAATAATGCGACGAGCCGGCAACGTTTGACAGCCGAATTATTTGGCTGGTCAGCAGCTTCCGCCATAATAATAACAAAATGGAGTAAAAACAACAGAGAAATTGACTAGCATAGGCTGCTGATGAAGACTAATCAAGATTTATTTACAAGACTGTGTCTACAATAATCATTAAGATATCGAAAGGGATTAACACTAAAGAATAATGGCAGCTGACGAAAGTCAAATAGTAAGTCTACTGACAATCGGAGTCATTCAATGACAAGGTTGTCGTTCGAGGCATATCCTTGTATTAGTTAATTTAATATTGGAGTACTTTTCTCTTGACTTTTAAAATATAAAACTAATAAATCTTTAAAGTAAATCGATGTTCGATAATTTGTTGACTAACGGACATCTTTACCTGTTGCAAATTTATAACTTGTTTTGTTTATATTCAGCTAGAAAATTTTTGTTATTTATACAATACGGTCCTACATAACGGGAAATGCCTGTGTCAGTGCATTTCCCTAAAATACTTTTATAGACAACAGCAAAGGTCAAACGAATGTTATCACTGTTCTAGGTCAAAATAATAAGTAAAATCTCGGTCTTTGAAAGCAGAGTTTACAGTAAACGGTGAACATTATTTGATCTAAACTACCGAAAGTCGAAAATGTTGATTATTTGTTGGCCTGTAGTACCCCCAGAATTTACAGGCCGCAATATTTAATTTTACATTATGTAAGACCAACCTTTAATCTCACCATACAAATAATATTACTGTAAAATACGTTTAATATCCGTATATATATATTCTACAGTCTTGTCAACAACAAGTCTTTTATATCATACTAAATGCTAATTTACATAAACTGTCATGCTATATGTGACGGCTCCCGTTCTTTCTTTTTTTTTGCTATTTTTTCATGCATAGTTCCTAACTATTAAACAATTCAACTGGTGTTCAAGTCCGAACTAAAGTTTCTAAAATATCCTAATTATACTAAATTCATTTTATACTATATATATACATTCCTTTATACTTAACTAGATGTTCTCAATCAATCGGGAAGGTGCCCTTCGAACTCTTGTACTTCTTCTCAATGGTGTTCGTACGTGTTCTTCCTCTATTTCTGTACTCGGGAATATAACTGGAGAACGAACTGGTGAACGTACGGTACTCGGAGCTATACCTGAACAACGTTCTTCTTCTCCGACAGGTTCCATTGGTGGTGTAATAATCATTGGTGGTTCGTTAGTTGGCATTAGATGCTGGCGATTTCTGCGTAACTGAGTTCCATTGAAGTTGCCACAATGTACGAACGAGGTGATTTATGTTGTTCAACGACCACGGCTGGATTCCATACGCCTCCCTGTCGAATCCTCACCGACTCGTTTGGCTGTAAACTGGATAACTGTTTCGTTCCCTGATCATATGCTGCTTTCTGACGCAATTGACGTACTCTCAATCTCTGGCGAACATTGTTGATTGGCTGTGACTTAGGTTTAAGAAGATGCTTAGGAATTGGTAACTTAGCTCTCAATTTTCTACTCATCAACAGTTCTGCAGGCGATTGTTCCATACCACTAATTGGAGAATTATGGAACTCCAACAAGGCTAAAAATGCATCTTGTTTCGAATCATTTGATTTTTTCAACAGACGCTTAATTGTCTGAACGTTTCTTTCCACGAGCCCATTTGAACGCGGATAGTGTGGGCTGCTTGTCATCACCTCAATTTCCCACTCTCTAGCAAAGTCTCTAAATCTAAGGCTGTTGAAAGGCATATTATCAGCTATAATTTTTTCTGGAATGCCATGACGGGCAAACATTTCTTTCATTGCCAAGATGACGGCTTCACTATTCTTGTGATTTATCCTTGTTACTTCAGGATACTTCGAGAAATAATCGACTACCAATAAATAGTCTCTTCCTTTATAATAAAATATGTCCGCTGCAACGGTTGACCACGGCCTCTCTGGAATTTCCTGCGGCATCAACGGCTCCCTCTGATTCCTTCGCTGAAATTGTAAACATGTTCTGCATTCTGACACCATTTCATCAATTGCACTATTCATTCCAGGCCAGAACACTGAACCTCTCGCCCGTGCTTTACACTTCTCGATTCCCAAATGAGCTGCATGTATCCGATCCAGCATTTCTGGTCTAAGAACATGTGGAACAATTACACGATCTCCTTTAAACATCAAGCCTTCATGACCGCTTATTTCATCTCTGTAACTCCAATAAGGTCGAATTTCTAAGGGCGTTTCAGGCTTTGTCTGTGGCCAACCATCCATGACTACTCTGTGCAACTGCTGAAGTTCAGCATCCTTCTTGGTCTCCTCAACCAACTTCTCAAACATAGTCTCAGACATCTGACCCGATTCCAGAACATTGACTTCAAATTCATCTGATGGATCGTTTATCTGTGCAGACATCGGTGATCTAGAAAGAGCATCTGCTATCAACAACTGACTCCCAGGCGTATATTTCACTTTAATCGCATAAGGTTTAAGTCTAAGTATCATTCTCTGCAATCTAAGCGGAGCTTGATGGATGGATTTCTTTAGTATTGCTTCTAACGGTTTATGGTCACTTTCCACGATTACTTCGCGTTGCCCGTATAGGTATTGATGCAAATGCTCACAACCATAAACTATTGCAAGCATTTCTTTTTCAATCTGTGAGTAGTTCTGCTGACATGAAGTTAACGCTTTCGACGCATACGCTACTGGACGATCATTTTGAAGAAGCACTGCACCCATACCTTTCGAGCTGGCATCAACCAACAAGCACACGGATTGTTTCTGATCAAAGAATTTGAGGACTGGTGGATCGACAATCGCTGCCTTTAAAGTTGTAAACGCTTGTCTTTGCTCTTGATCCCAAACCCATTCGACATTTTTCTCCAGCAACTGACGTAGTGGAGCTGTTATCTGTGCCATATTTGGAATGAACTTGGCAACATACGTAACAATGCCCAAAAATCTCTTCAACTCTTCGCAATTTGTAGGCTGCGGCATCTCCTTAATCACTTCAATTTTCCGGGGGTCTGGTTTCAGTCCATCTGAACTCAAAACATGGCCAACATAATTTACTTCGGGGACACGAAATCGACACTTCTCTGGATTCAACTTAAGGTTTTTATCTCGACAGCGTTCTAAGACCAAACGAAGTCGTTCGTCATGTTTCGTCACGTCTTCTCCCCAGACCACCAAATCGTCCACGATAACTTCGACTCCTTCTATATCTGAAAGCATATTCGACATAATACTCTGAAATACTTCCGGAGCAGAAGCTATTCCAAACGGTAATCGTTTATAACTATACCTTCCAAATGGAGTATTAAACGTGGCTAAGTTACTGCTTTCATTGGCCAATTTCACCTGCCAGAAACCATGGTTGGCATCAAGAACACTAAACACTTTGGCATTGGGCATTCTGCTGACAACTTCTTCAACGGTCTGCATAGGAAAATGCTCTCGCATAACCACTTTATTTAAATCGCTAGGATCCATGCAGACTCGAATTTTATTATTTGCTTTTCTGGCAATGACTAAACTATGTACCCAAGCGGTGGGTTCATTCTTTTTCTCAATAACCCCCAACTTCTCCATTCGACGCAACTCTTCTTCTAGTGGCTTTCGGAGGGCCATAGTAACTCTTCGAGGAGGATGCACCACTGGAATGGACACCGGATCAATCTTAATCTGGTACTGAACATCTTTAATCTCTCCCAGACCTTCGAAAACGTCACTGAATTCTGTTTCGATCTTCGGTGGGTCCACTTCCAAGCTATAAACTCGCTTTACCAACCCGAGTTCTAGACAGGATTTTAATCCTAAAATCGATGGTAGATCTTGTTCAACTAGTACAAAGTCTAACACGGTAAATTTGCCTTTATACTCGCACTCTAAGCTGACTTTTCCTTTCGGAGTTATCTTACGGCCATCGAACATCTTCAACTTGCTCTTATTTTTGAAAATTCTTGTATTTGTTAGTGACAATTGCTCAAACGACGATTGCGAAATCACATTACAATCTGCCCCCGTATCTAATTTGAAATTCAAATCCGTTTTTCCAAACTTAAGCTGGACATGCCAGTCATTCTTTGAGCTGCCCTCGTTATTTGACTCTACTGAAAATGTCAATAAATCATCCTCGCTAACTTCGTCGTCTTCGAATTCCCCCAAGACATTCACTTCTCTCGGTCTAGAGTCACGTTGTCGTTGCTTCGCTCGACACACACGCTCAAAATGTCCTGTCTTCTTACAATAGTTGCATGTTTTGCCGAATGCCGGGCAAGATCTTAATGCGTGAACCATACCACAGAATCCACACTTTTCGGACTTTGTTTTTCACGGCGGCTACCTATCTGCCCTTTTCCTTGATTGGCGTCATATCGAAGAACATTTACCGACTGATTTGCTTCGCTCGACTGCGCCCTAGCATTCATGACTTTAATCTGTTCCTTCGACGCTTCGGCTGCTCTAGCCATACTTATAGCTTTTTCCAGTGTAAGTTTCTCTTCTCTTAATAATCTTTCTTTCACAGTTAAGTTTTGTATACTAAACACAAACTTGTCCCTTACCATATCGTCAACCGATGTATATTCGCACGATTTTACTTTGTTCTTTAATCTTGTTACAAATTGGTCAACCGTCTCTGAATCTCTCTGCGTAATTTTCCAGAACTGGTATCTCTCGAAGACTACATTTTTTCTGGGGTTACAATACCTTTCAAACTGTTCGATAACCTTATCCAATTTCTTATCATCGCCAGCAGAAAACTCGAAAGTATTGAAACTTCTATAGCATCTTCGCCGGCAAAATTTAACAATATGGCTATTTTAATCGGGTCGTCTTTGTCTTCGCTTCCCGACGCGACTAAATATATCTGAAACTGCTGCTTAAATCGTCTCCAATTTTCTGATGTATTTCCGTCAAAACTTAAAGCACTCGGCTTGTGAAAGCTATCCATAGTATCCCACTCCTGACACCATGTAAAATACGTTTAATATCCGTATATATATATTCTACAGTCTTGTCAACAACAAGTCTTTTATATCATACTAAATGCTAATTTACATAAACTGTCATGCTATATGTGACAATTACATTCATGGCAAGTCTAACTTTTGAATTTTAGGGGTTTTATTTCAACAATTTTTCAGGAACTTGGAAATCTCTATTTTAGTCTGTCATGAATGATGTCATTTCTATATTTAGAAAACATATTTGAAAAATTTGTAGATATATTTTTACTTAAGACATATAAAGCTATTATTGTGTGGAAGGATTTAGTTTTATCATTATTTTTGTTTGATGTAGAGAGGTTTAAAAATCAGTAAAAATCCACTATTGAGAAACAGCAAAAATCATAATTTTAGCCCTCAACTTGACCCCCCTGGCACTTTGCCAAAATGCAGTTAGACTGAAAACAAGATGCATTTTGAAGCAACCCTTATAAAGGCAATCTCAAGTACCAAGTTTGAGAGAAATCTGCTGTATTTCTTGATCCAAAGAGGTCATGAGGTTCTTACAGAGACTGCCTCTTAAATTGCTAGTATCGGCTATTTACGATACCTGCCGGTCAGCGGAAAACATTTTACATTACTGTATGTAACCTGAATAAAGCTATAAGTAAACCAAAAGCCCGAAACATAATAAATATTTTCTATACTGTATATGACTTGGCGCACCAAATTTGGAACACTAAGAGCATTAAGTCTTATTTAACCAAGAAGTGAAAATAAACAAGTCGTTTAAAAAAGGGTGCAAGTATCGAACGATACCACGTCAGTAATCGATACCGATACCACTGTTTGTGGTATCGCTGGTATCGAATACCGAGTATTCGGTATCATCCATTACTATTGATCTCGATTGATTAGAAAATCATGTCGGTTGAAAATCATACCTCGATTGATTAGGATATTACCTCGATGGAGTAGAATATTATATCGATTGATTAGAATACTACCTTGGTTGATTAGAATATTACCTTGGTTGATTAGAACATAATCCCTATTGTTTAAAAGATGATTTCGTTGAGTTTTACTTTTGCTCGTTTACTGCAATTAATTCACATTTTTGTTGTTAGGATACCAAAGTTGTTCAAACCAAAGCATTTGATGGCGATCGAGGGATTGATAAGCCTGTGGAATATGTCATTCTTGGAGGTAGAGTGTTGTCATTGCTACGTTCGTTTGTCAGATAACCTGTCTGATACTTAAGTAGTTTGTGTCTTACGTGCGAGTTTCTGTTTTCCTTGAAGGTGATGACAACCACTATTTCAAGATAGACAACTCAAGAGGAACAATTTATGTCAACTCAACAATTGACGGAGATGTGGGCATTGATTATTTTGAATTGACTGTTCAGGTAATACAGTAGCACATGATATCTTTTAATGTCGTGTGTGTCTTCATTTTGTTGGCTAATGTGAATGTACCTTTCTCTTTTGTGACTGAGGTCCGATTTCTGCTACATTATAATTTCACCTCAGTGACATGTGAGAAAAATGGTCCCAGTTTGACTGTGCCGCGCAAACACCACAGGTTTTCTCGCCTGGTTAATATTGAGACAGTAAAGATGATCTTTACTGGCAGAGTCTTACTCAACTTCGATCCCAGCAAGGCTCTGGAATCGAGGTTGAGTCTTACTTTATCCAGTATAAATAAAGTTGATAGTTAGTTTAAGTTTTCTCCTGTAGTAACACTTGACCATTCGGAAATTTTTCTTACTGGGCATCTAGGAAGAACAGTTTAGAAGTGATTAAAGTGGAAAACAGCTTCATAGGAGTTGATAGCCTTTCTCTTTTTTAATTTCTATATGTAGGCCACAGAGATTCCGGGCAATGCTTCAGGGACCACCACAGTATTTATCACAATACGAGATCTCATTGATAATGGTACGAGTCGTTTTTACGTGTGTACTACATGTAAGGAAAACTATTATTTTCTCACTCTGATAACTGCATGTTGACCACCATCTGCTGGACGATAGTTCTTAGTCAGATCCACGCAAAAATTGCACATCTTGTACGTAGCAATCTGCCAACAAGTTGCCAAGCTTGTCTCAAGTTGTCAACAAGTATGGAACAACTTGGAACAACTTCTTAACAGTTGTAATTTGATATTATCAGACTTATTGCAAGGTTGCTCCGACAAGTCCGGTGCAATCATGATATAACAATATTGTTACAACCTTGCAACATTCTTGTAATATCATGACTGTATCAGATTTGTTAGAACAACCTTGTGATAAGTACAGTCTGATAATACCATCAAGCTTGTTACAAGTTATAATAGTTTTGTCTGTGGAAACACCACGCAAATTTATATAAATTTATTACTGCAGTAATAAATTTACGTGGTGTTTCCACAAACAAAACTATTATACGTTTAGTTATCGCCATGCAAACATACAAAGAACTTATTGTTACAATTAGTTGTTAATATACACTGTAATGGAAGTAATGGTCGATGTGGGGCTTGTATTACGAACAATACGCACAAACTGTGCCCTGGTTGCCAGACGTTCTCATATCTTTCGCAACAGTTTCGCATTCCCGCTTGTATTTATTTTACGCGAGGCGATGAGAACCTCTGGTGGCACGCAACATAAATCTCACTTCCATGCTGAGTTACATTTTGCCGAAAGACACTTTGCCGAAAGACATTTTGCCGAAAGACATTTTGCCGAACGGACATTTTGCCGAATGGACATTTTGCCGAACGGACAGTTTGACGAACGGACATTCTGCCGAAAATAGAGATATCTTCTGAACTTTTTAAAAGGTTCGCTCACGGCACGATCAAAGTTTCTGTGATTAAAGTCATTATAATTGTCGATTTTGATGACAGAAACGTTGGTAGTGAAGCATAGTTTCGTTTTGTATTCTTTCAAGTTTTTGACAAGTTTACCGAAATTAATTCGGGATATGTGTAGGTGATAACATGGTTTCGAGTGCAATTTGGATATAACCGATGCACGAGTGAGTTTTTCAAAGACCTCAAAATAGCGCGAGTCCGAAGGACGAGTGCTATTTGGGGTCTTTGAAAAACTCGCGAGTGCATGTTTATCCAAATTTTACGATAAACCATGCTATTACTTATTAATAATTTACATCAAAATGTTCGAGACAATTGTAGTTTTAACTTAAGCGTTTATGGCGAACATTCCACTGGCAAAGTTTTCTTGGCTTTGCTATATCACATTATACAACGCTAACAGGTTGAAAATTCCACTCAACTATGTAATTTTTGTTAGTCCTGTTTAAGGTAAATGCTTTTCCATTTATAAATAAAGATAAAAGCCATATTTTCCACGCAAAGGCAACTTATACTTTATGCAACGGGGCGACATGTTTGTTTTGTTTTGAAGCAATCTGTGGCCGTTAATTACTTCTTTAAACTAAATTGCTTTAATTTAAACTGATTGGTTGATTTAATCATCACAATGTTTTAACACCCATCAGATCAGTTTTTTACAGATTTTTGCATTGTGGTTACAGAAAATTGCACTATGATTACAAAATATTGCACTATGATTACAAAAATTGCACTGTGATTACAGAAAATTGCACTGTGATTACAAAAAATTGCACTGTGATTACAGAAAATTGCACTGTGATTACAGAAAATTACACTGCTGTTTGGGATTAACTGCATTGAAATCAACCAATCACAGTCGAGTAATATCTTTATGCATATTATTAAAAGAATAACATTATTCAATATCATTCATGAATGCGATTTCCCCGAGAACTGTGAATGTGTTCCATGATTCTCGAAGTGAAATTCGCTTACGTCGTCTTTATATACGCTTGTTTGTTTACGATGTTACGTCAAAACACGTTCCTAACAAATGAGTTATCTGCTGCACAAACAAGCTATACCAATACTTAATACGGTTATGCACTGCTATCAACCATTAGTATAAACCTACTAGTGGGCTATCACATTTCGTGCCTTCTGATTGGCTACGCTACTAGTATGCTATTAGTGATAGCCTACTAATAGAAAATTCAAAATGGCGGAAAATTCGCGTTTTGCACTTTTGCCGAAGTGTCTGATGATTTTTTGGACGACTTGTTGAACAATTCTGTACTAAAAACCCCCGAAAAAAGCAACAAAAATATGGAATGGCAATTTTTAAGGGTAAGAAAATATACAAAATAACATACACTCAGTGAAATTTTTAAATTAAAACTGAATTTAATTTTGTAAAACATTTTACGCGAACAAAAACTAAAATATTTGTTTACCTTTTATGGTTTTATAATGTTTTTTGTGTATTTTTGATTGTGTTTGCAGCCTAGTTGTAAATTAATGTTAAAGTTTATACTAAAACAATTATACAACTCGGTCTCGTTGTCTATGAGCAAATAGTCAACTCGGCTTCGCCTCGTTGACTATTCGCTCATAGACAACTCGGCCTCGTTGTCTAATTGTTAATTATTATGCACTGCTAATTATTTTACTGCACAGTGGTTGAGAATTACACAGTTGAGAAATGAGTCACCGTTCCAAACATTTTGACGAAATAATATGTTTATTTTCGCCAAATTGTCCTTTCGGCAAACTGTCGGTTCGGCAAAATGTCCGTTTGGCAAAATGTCTTTCGGCAAATTAAAGTGTCTTTCGGCAAAATGTTCGGGTACCGATATACAAACTCGAGTCGAAGGCGAGAGTTTGTATATCAGATACAGATCGGATTAGAAGTAATTTTAAAAATAAACATTGTCTAAGCCGAGAAAGTCAAAGCTGAGATTTATGTTATGTAAATCAGGACAAATCTTTATCCGATTTGCAAACATTGATTAAACATTAATTTCTTTTGTATTTTCCTCGTGAATTATTAATGAATTTTTTAAACAATCATATAAAGCAAGTGAGCAACACTTTATATTTTACAAATATCTATAGAGTGAAAATGTCATGCCATCAACTCAAGTCATGCCGCGATGGCAGCTCTTCTCCAGCGCAGAAAATCTTTTTAAGTTCGTAGCGGAACAAACTAAGTTAATTAGATCCCAAATAACCTTCATGTGACTGCTAATTATCTTCGCCTCGCGTCAAATAAATACGAGCGGGAAAATTAATAAGGCGGAAGATACGAGAATATCCGGCAACCAGGGTAAACAAACTGATACAAGACTGAAAAATAAATAACCCCAAGTAATAATCTTTTTTATAACCACCAGATCCAGGTTTATCCAATCCAACGTCTTCATCAAACCTTAACACTGGGGTCGTTATTGGAGTTGTAGTGGCAGCACTGGTTGTTTTAATAATGGTAATCTTGATCGTTACTTGTTTTATATATCCAAGAAAAACAAGAAAAGAGAACACGGGGGACACTGGTAACAATCAAAATGCTGCTTATGATGGTGACACCTATACAGACAGAACACTGCCACATATACCTGATTCTGATAGTCATTATGAAGAACCAGAAAAATATGCACAGCTGGACAGTTCCAAACGAATGCCCATTGATGCAAATTATCAAAGTTTAAATATGGAAGGTTCTGCACAACTGGATAGTTCTAAGTGAGTTCCCATTAATGATCATGATGCCAACTTATCAAAGTTTCGAAACACACAGATCAACCCGACAATGTTCAGTGGTATGGCTCCTTGAACATTGGTAGCAATTCAACAAACTAAGTACCTGACGAGTCACTGTACGAAGCAATGCCTTAGTTTGTTTGTTTAAAGGGAAATGGCAATATAAATGTTTATTTTCACATTTGAAAGAACTTTTGAAACAATATATTAACTTCTTTTAGCGATTTTTCATATCTTGCTTAGTTCTTGAAATATTGTTACTTGAGGTAATGAGATGTCCGCCATCTTGAATGAATTTTTTATCTCATTAACGATGACACTGAAAATTCGGTGTAGATAAAAGCGGACGCAGACGGCGGAGCATTTTATAAACACATGATTACTACCGCAACCGTAATATCCTAAATTTTTAGCAATAACTTTTATTAATCAGCATTCAAAATGTATGAAAGGACGCTAAACGCCGTTTTTCTTTCTCTAATATTGTAAAAAAGCGCCTTAGTTTTAGAGCTTCTGTTATAGGCAAGGCTATTAATGTCATTAATTAACTTGCTGTCTGTTGCTGACATTTTCATAGTTTAATTAAATAGTGCTGACTTTTTATAACGAAAACAAGACGCCTACTCAGGCGTTCACACTGACCTGAAAATGATGATATGCGTGCTATGGTGCAATCTCGTTCCCTGAGCCTGCGGTCGTTGGGAAGGAAACGAAGGCTCTGGGAGAATCCGTTTCAGGGAGGAATCTGATTGGCCGTTGATATGGAATGTGCAGTTCAATCTTAGCCAGAATTCCTGGCTTTCGGCAACGGATTATCCCAGAACCTTCGTTTCCTTCCCGAGGATCGCAGGCTCGGGGAACGAGATTGGCTATGGTGTAATAGACAAGGAAATGGGGAGCAAGAGAGTTCGTATAGAACAGTTTCAGCGGTAGATTTATCCAAAGAAAATCAATAATTTGACAACAAAAAGCAGAAGGCAGAAACTGTTTGAAACCTAAAGTTGCGCTTTTGCACAAGTAACAAACCTTCATAGGAAAAAATAAAAATATAAAATGAGACATAGGTAACATCTCTTGTGCTTTAATCACATTTAGTTTAATGTCAGATACTTAGTAATAATATTTATAGATAGTATCTCAGGTTCACACCGAAAATCACGTGACCATATTGAACTTTATCAAATCATGATCGTGGATCATTTCTGAGTATTGAAGCAGTCAGATACAATATATTATTGTCTTCTTCGCCTTTCAGTTGCCTTGAACGATACGTTTTTGAAGAATGGAGATTTTGCGCTACGCAGTATTTCGTGATCATGTTCCAATATTGATATAAGAATTAATGAGCACATGATAACAAATGAGCACATAATAGCTGTGAGTTGATCGAGTTGTATTAGGAAAATGAGAACCATACAATAAACGTTTTAGTTCTTGTTGGTATTTCACTGAACGCACGCTTTATCTTTACTTGCGCCAATTCTAGTAGCTACTGCGCGAATTTTAATACATGTATTATATGGCGCGTTTTTGCTGTCAAAATTCAATAGGTCCGCAGGAATGCTAGTAGCACTAGCTATACGTACTGCGCGAATTTTAATACATGTATTAAGGTATAATGCCGACATTGTGTAGTCAAACGCCAAACCTTTAACTTTTCCTTGTTTATATTATATTGTGAACTAAATGTTATTGTATTAGGAAAATGAGAACCATACAATAAATATCTTAGTTCTTGTTGGTATTTCACTGAACGCACAGCTTTATCTTTACTTGCTCCAATGCTAGTAGCTACTGCGCGAATTTTAATACATGTATTATATATGGCGCGTTTTTACTGTCAAAATTCAATAGGTCCAATAGTTATAAGTCGAACACCAAATCACCAATGATACAAATCGGGCAACCCTTACTCGAATCGAGCAGACTGATATGTAAATCGATTATTGAAATGATCAATACACATTCAAAACGAGCAAACAGTATAGCCAAATCGAACGACTATTCCTTGTTTATATTATATTGTGAACTAAATGTTATTGTATTAGGCAAATGAGAACCATGCAATAAATGTCTCGGTATTTTGAATGCAAGCTTTATCTTTACTACTTGCCCGAACTCTAGTAGCAACTGCGCGAATTTTACTACATGTATTAAGGTATATTGTCGACATTTTGTAGGTGAAAGAATTGGCTAGTTTACATTGTTCATTATATTATGAAATATGATACTATAGTTAAAATTCGCGTCGAGCTAAATGTTATTGTATTAGGCAAATGAGAAGTGAGAACCATACAATAAATGTCTTAGTTCTTGTAGGTATTTTGAAGGCACGCTTTATCTTTAGTATAGCTACCACAAAGCATTTGGCGCGCCAACTAGTAGCTACTGCGCGAATTTTAATACATGTATTAAGGTATATTGTCGACGTTGTGTTGTGAAACTGTCAAACCTTTAACTTTTCCTTGTTTATATTGTGTTTATATTATATTGTGAACTAAATGTTATTCTATTAGGCAAATGAGAACCATACAATAAATGCCTTAGTTCTTTTTGGTATTTTGAACGCTCGCTTTATCTTTACTTGCGCGAATTCTAGTAGCTATTGCGCGAATTTCAGTACATGTATTTTAATATGGTCAAACCTTTAACTTGCCCTTGAAACTAAATGTTATTGTATTAGACAAATGAGTACCATACAATAAATCAAAATAAACTGTAGAATCTTTAACTTGTACTTGCTTATATTCCACTATATTGTACAAATTCGCGTCGGGTCCAAATTTTGGGGGTTTCGAGTCGTTTAATACAACATATTGATTGCATAAATCCGCCGGGTCGGCCAAATTTTCAAAGCCAAATTTTAGAGTCGTATAATACAAAAATAAAAACATTAATTCAACATGCAGAAAAGTCCAGAGTGCGACAAAAAATTAACACAACTACACCACGGATGCTTATGACTCTACAACGTATATTTATAGACGGTTGTTTATTAGTTAAAAAGTCAAACTGTCGAACCTTTAACTTGTCCTTTGTAAAATTCGCTGGGTCCAAACTTTGGGGTTTTCGAGTCGTTACACGAAGAAAAACATATTAGTTCAACACGCAAGAAAGTTCAGAGTGCGACACAACGTAAAATCAATAGGAAACCGGCACAACTCTTTGAAAATTCAACGAAACTGTGTGAAATATTTTCTGATCACTCAGCTAAAAGGCGCCATTTTGAAACTGGACTGAATATGTCACCATTGGAGTTCGGAATTGTGCGCGTGCGCATATAGGTCTATATATGGGCTAATAAACGAAAAATGCACCGCAAGCATGACATGAGCCGACTATTACGTACATAAATACCAGCTTCTTACTATTATATATGAATCGTGGAGTCAAAGAATCGATGGCATTTTGGATTAATCGTTGCACCCTGAGCCTGCGATGCGCGAACGCAAACTCGATTTCTCGACGACGAAAAAAACAGAAAACTAGGGATTTAAGACACTTGACCTTTCAGGTCAGTGTAATTATCAATTTTCCAAACATATATATGCTAGGTATGTTATTATACGTAATATATATATATTATACGTAATTTAATGTAAAATTCAACCACAAACGCTTCGCAAAACGTTTTAAAATATTCTTAGAACTAAACGGCCTTTTATCGAATTATCGGTAAACATTGAGTTTATAATAAACTGATTTCAAATTCTCGCATGAAAATAACTTTGCTTTCCTCTTTATTTAAATATTTTAATATACAAAAGAAAGGGTAATTAATAAAACTACACTGAAATTATATATATGCTGTCTTTTTTCACTTATATACGCAACGATACTCGATAGTATATCAGTTCGATATTCGCAGTATCGCCCATCACTATAAGTTATAAATATATAAATTATAAAACAAACAATACATCAATATTTAAAACAAACTTACCTTCATTAACGTCGGCGACTTTGCTCCATTCTTTTAGAAGTTTTTATACGTTTTTTGGCTCTCAGAAATTAAAGGTTTTGAAATTTACAAAATCTTGCAAAAATACAACTTGAAAGAAATGTTTGTTATTTCGCTGTCGTCAATGCAGTCGTTATAATGCCAATTTCAAATTTGACCAATCAGTGTTCACTATTCACGACAGTCCGCTACATATTTTGAGATCAGTGAGGATGACCACCCATGAACGGTGAGCCATGCGCCCACGATATTTGATGAACTTTAGGCTTCGCTAGTGCGTTCCTTTCCCCGGGTGTAAATAGCCGGAGGGAGTTAGTACCCTCGCACGGCGCTTTGCGCCGTCGGTTCGGGGAAAATCACAAAGACGTTAATGCTAAGTCTTTTCACTATGTCACTGGTCTGAAAAATAACTCTTTTAACGCGATCAAGGTATTTAAAACAAAAGTAAAGCGAAGCCAACGTAACGGCATAGACCACGCTACAATGAAATATTGTCGATGGGTTGCTTGCATGTAGAAGACTTACGACAGGATCAATCTTAACTAACTTTAATCTAGAAGAATAAATGTTCACATGAAAGACGAATATCAGTGCCAAAGTATAAAATCTGCTCTGTAAACCTACGACGACGAAGTGGAGAAATGTGTGGCATGAGCTGTTTATTTGGTGATTTCAACGTATATGGAAGCCCTTTTCCCAATAATATTCGCTTATCGCGCAGAACAGTAAATGCATGGCCATTCCCGGTGCCTCATGCCCCCGGACCAAGATATTGTTCTAGTTCAAATGCCCTCAGCTTCGCCACTTTTGTCAGTAAAAAGGACCAATTTCTATTAACCAGTTTCCCTTTAACAAAAGACCGTTTTGCTTGAATCATTTTGAGTTACAGTATGTAATCCGTTATGTGTGTTGGATGTAAACAACATACTGTATCTTGTCTACAACTTTGAAAAGGTACAGATAACGCTTTCTAAAATCCACATTCCAGTGATCTCTATAAAATAACAAGGTCGACGTTAATGTTACTAAGTTTTTGGCTATGTCACTGGCCTGAAAAATAACTTTTTAACGTGATCATCAATGTATTGAAAAGAAAAGAAACGCGAAGCCAACGTAACGGCAAAGACAACGCGCTAAAATAATGGGTAGCTGTCAGAAGAATTACGAGAGGATCAATCTTAAATAACCTTAAACTAGAAGAATAAATGTTCACATCAAAGACAAAGATCAGTGCCAAAGTATAAAATTTGCTCTGTAAACTTACGACGAATTGGAGAAATGTGTGCATGAGCGCTGTTTAGTTGGTCATTTCAACATATACAGTATGGAAGCCCTCTTTCCAATAATATTCGCTTATCGCGCAGAATAACACCAATTGATATAATAGTTCTAATGCAATGATAAGTTGAATTACGTCTCAGAAACTCTGTTGGAAATTTGAATGCTCACTCATTACATAAGATTACCGTTTTACATCGCGGTTTAAAACATTTTGATCGCATTTAAGGAATTATTTCGTAGCCCAGAGACATAGCCCAAAGACTTAACATTACCGTCCTTGTGATTTTATAGAAATAGAGCCAGAACTGAGGATATTAGAAAGCGATATCCAGGGACGTTGGAACTGGGGGGGGGGGCAGGAGGGGCAGCTGCCCCTCTTGTCTTTTGCTAGCAGGGGCAAGGGGGGCAGAAGTGCCCTTTGAGTTATAAAATACTACCTGATAAATCACATTTCCAGTGATGCTTTTTGGGCAAAATCATGATGTGTGATCTTGAATGTGACCTGGTTAAGTGTGTTTGCTTTCATATATTGGAAAGTCGACACATAATTGTAGGTTTATTTCTTCACCGGAGTCTATAGAGGTGCCCTTTGGTGTGCGTTTGCCCCCCTTGCCTTTTTATCGTCCCGGCGTCCCTGGCGATATCGGTATCTTCCCAAAGTCGTAGACAGGATATGTTGTTTACGTCCAACGCGCTTAAAATTACATATTAACTGAAACTGATCAAAACAAAACGGTCTTAATTGTTGAATGTAGAGACTGGTTCATATAAGTGAGTCATTTTGAGTTATGCAGTCGTGTGTCGTCATCCATCCGTGTCGTTGAACAATGAATGATAAAATTTGTCGTCAAATTAGAGAAGATAAAATAGACTTTGTGAGAACACTGCGGGTCTACGGTGCGGGAACGTTTCGGATTTATACTCAGCGTGTTCGAAAGTGTTAGTAGGTACTTTTCGAGTTTACAGCAAACGGTCTATTTGAGACACATTATCGAATTCGTTACCACTACCTGATAAAATCGATGAAGCATGCCATTTAATGTACATATATTAAGGCCGCTTTACACTATCAAAGTTTCTGTGATCAAAGTAGGAATTTTGCATTAAATTATACTTTTATCCTTTTCGAGCCAATTGAATTCATAAAAACTTCATTTGCAATGTGAATTGTTGCTAAAAATTGCCCCTGGGGACATCGCATCTTCCGCATTAGAAAGGTCCAATGACGTATGCAAAATTCCTAATGTGATCACAGAAACTTTGATAGTGTAAAGGCTCTTTTCCAATCATCGCAAAAACTAACTCGCAAGCTCGCTGCGAGTACTTTCATCCAATCACAATGCTCGAAAGCTTACTTTAATTAATTAGATGCAATCACTCGCAGTGAGCTTGCGAGTTGGTTTTGCGATGAGTGGAAAAGAGCCTTAAATCAGCCTTTAGCAAATTAATCAGTTAATCCTTGAACGTTGTTTTGTGTCAGCATAGTAAGTTCTGTTTTGTATATGCATTATTTCGCGCATTAACAACCGCTGTGTGTATGATTTGCTATATTATAAATCACTATACGGCATAAGACGTCTCCTCAATTTACCTGTAATTTGTTTACTTCCAAGTGTTTGGACAGGGTGTATTAAGCACTTAATCCTGGGAAATGTTGAACTAGAACAATATTTTTGAACAGCAAGGTTTAGAATAATACAGAAGATGTGACTGTCCAATAAAATATTTGTCAGAACGAAATAAGTTTTTCTGTAAACGTCACTATCTTAAATTACCCAAACTGTTTTATAGTAGGTTTTGTTTTATATCCATTTTTCATCCGTCGTAAGTGTGGAATGCAGGGGATATTCGTAGCGCTACTAGCTGTCCTACTATTACGTTTGCTACTTATGTTTTCCAATAGTTTCCACTCAATGGGCAAGTTACAATACACCGTTACAAAAGTTACAAAATTACCGTTCGACGCGCATGGGCTCAAACAATGTTCAAAATGAATTATCATGAACTTGTTATACTGAAGGGGAAGGATAAAAATAGCAAAATGTACGTTATATAACATTATAACACAATATTTAGTTCACTGCTGAGAGGCCGCATATTTTGTCCAGGATTTTGGGAAATATCAATTTTTACAGAATTATTAGGAATTTTCTAAAATGAAATTGCGCTTCCGAATAAACCTAGCTAGCGGTTTACTACTTGTGTTATCTTCCAGTGAATACCACGCAGATGAACACAGCGTATACTACTTCATCCTATTCAAAGACCAATCCAACAACGAACAATGCAAGAGGATCATCAACACCAAGTGAGTCGCCATCTACGAGCATGACTCAAATCGCCAGCCCTCAAAATGTCTCGTTGTCAAATAGCTCGCCGAGTTTTGAACCAGATACATCACCTACCATTATTTCCATCCCTTCGTCCACGGTTACTAGTGATACATGCACAAGTACATGTGTAGTTCGTCATGACTCCTGTGAAACGAAAACCAAACTGTGTCTGTGGGAGTGGGTGACTATATGTTGCGGAGCGTTTATACTGATACATTCAATCATCATTGGATCGCTGTGTGTAAGTAGACTATCCACTGTTATGTTATGCTATTATTTGTTGCTGTCTAATGGACGTTTCCCCTTATAGCGATGTCCGCTATGCATGACGGTAGGAGGCTGTAGATTGCTTTCGAACGAAATGGCGGCTGTAAGAGTGAAAGATTTTGTTTTGACGATACAATGACGGATTTTAAAACCTTTTCACATCCATTGATAACTTTTAACTCCAGGGAAACAACTAGGGAACTTCAAATCACATATAGATGAAATTTCGTGAAGTTCTGTGCAATAATGGCAAAGAAAACGCGTTTACAAGGAGGCGACGTGCGAACACATTTCGCGGACAATCTGTTGAAAAAAACTAGCCTTAACAACAAAAACAGGTGAACGACCGTTTTAACTAAAGAATTAAGGATAAGTTTTTTTGAAGACTAAATATTACTGGTAGGTTTTGTACTGGGTCTCTAGTTTATTTGGATCGTATGAATTTATAAAAGCAATTTTTTGCTTTGTGAAATTGGCAACTTTTGTCATGATTTTGTTCAAATTTTTCAGTCCGAAAACTTGCGTCTGTTTGAACAAATTTCTAAGCCTGAATAATATCGACCAATCTGAATGAATTGCCTCTAGTTGTAGCAAGAGCATTTAATGGTGAATGTGTTCTCTTGATTTCATTTGCATATTTTATCATAATTTTATAAAAATTTCTCGAGTAGTGAACTCCTCAGTTGATCAGTTAATATTTAATTGCTGATCACAACATGAAATTTAGGTTTATAGTATTTTATGCCTTCTTTCAGCTGAACCTTTCTGTTAGATTGGAAGAATAATGTGCTTACCTAAAATATTTTAAGATGTCTGCATGTAAAGATATTTAAAGTCCTCAGCCTGGACATACACTCTATCTTAGTATAAGTGGGGTGTGCTAATCTGATGAAGTAATACATACGCCCGTATTCTAAAAGCTCACTCGCACTCAATGAGTGGAGATTCAATCTGACCTTCTCTTGAGTGTCAATGCTGTTTTTGAGTAGCTGGAGGGTGAGTAGTCACCGAGATGACATTAGCCTTCCAGCTATTCAAAAACAGCAATGACACTCGTGAGAAGCTCAGATTGAACTAAAATGCCACTCATTGAGTGCGAATGTGAGTGTGAGTGAGCTTTTAGAATACGAGCGATAGATGACTTTGGGTATGTTTAGTTTGATCTAGAATTCTCTTTAGTATGACAGATAACACAGATTGATCAGCTTTTAGTTGAGCATGCAACAATAATTATTGCTTGCAGGGATCTTATTTTCGCATGCTGAGATTTTTTGGAGAGATCATGTATTACCTGGTCATGTATTCAGGGTGTTGTGATTTGTTTGGAAATCAACCAAGTTACAAAGTTATTACTTAATTGCAAAATATCTATTGCTGGATTGGGGTAGTTTCCCAAGAAAATATTTGAAGTTTTGAATGCCTTGGACTAAAATTTCTGATCTAAATATGATCCAGCGGGGCATGCTCCCCACGAAAAAAATTGTAATCTAGAGTCCCTGAAATGCAATTTCCAGCATTTTTGGGAAGATATATTATACAGAATTCCAAAGATTGTAGAATACATGAAACACATGATTTTTCATGATTATTTGAAGGCTGGTATATTACGGAACTATACATTGAAAATAGACACTTCACCTTTGTTTTCATTGAAAATCTGGAAAAGCCAAGCTTGTTAAACTGAGGCATTCTATCGGTTTTGTGATGTGTTAAAAATTTCCACCCAATTGTTCATCTCTTTTTGACATATATATTGGATTCACAAAATGATTATCTGTTTTGGATCAAAACCGGACAGACAGTACAACGTTTCGGGACCGACTTTTAGGGCCGAATTCATAAATGTTGAGAGGGTGTTACACCACCCTAAAGTGCGCCCCTGACTGTGGTAAAAAAACTGCATATTACACTGTACTGGTCATAGCCAACATATAAAGCATAATAAACCCGTGATGATGAGTACATGTTAAAAACAAAAAAAAATATAAGATTTATTATGATATAATTTATTAATATATACTACATATATGACTGCCAAGTAGACATTTATACTAAAACAGGGTCAAAATACAAAATTATGTATAGTTATTATAGTACAAACAAACCAAAATACTTTAAATTAGTTTAATTAAAAAACGTTTTAAATATTAGAATACAGAACTGAAATTAAAGGAACATATTCACTATTAAATGTTCTTGCTATTATCAGAGGCAATTCATTCAGATTGACTATAGTTAGGCTTAGCAATTTGTTCAAAGAAACGCGAGTTCTCTGACTGAATTGGAACAAAAACGGAACACAATTCGTCAATGTCACAAAGCTTAAAATGGCACTTATCTGTTCATAGGTTCTAAATAAATTAGAAATGCAGTACAAGCACCTATCAGTGATACTTAATTTTCAAAAACATAATTCGATCGTTAGTTAAAACGCGAATTCACCTGTTTTTATTCCTACGCCTAGTTTTTTGCAAGACATTCTCTGCGAACCGTGTTCACATCTCGCCTCTTCTCAACGTATTTTCTTCGCCATTATTGCACAGAACTTCATGAAACTACACCTGCATGTAGTTAAAAGTTGCATGGTTGTTTTCCTGTAGATAAAAGTTAGCGATGGATACAGGCAAGAGTAGTTGAAATCCGCCATTTCATACTCAAAGCAAAATCGTTCGCTCCCACAGCCGCCATTTCGTTCGGAAGCAACTTGCAGCCTCCTACCGTCATGCTAAGCGGGAAGAACGTTATAAGGGAAAAGGACTATTGGCGATGCAGGATGTGGCTGAAATGGCAAAATAAGAGAAAGAGCTAGACCTACACGGCAAATCATGTTGACGAATATGTTAACGAACGGTCGCTTTATTTTAAAACACTAGAAAAATTATATGGACATTCTTGAACAATTAAGTATAATCTAAAATCCGAAATTAAGACTGGATTGGATTTTAAGTCCGAGACTAAGTTTGGTTTAGTCTAAACCAAATATATAATTTCTTCCCATCTTCAAATATAGTCAACTTGGCATTCCCATCTTCCCATTATAATATATGGTCAACTTCGCAGTTGAGGAAATATCGGTGAGGTGTAGGGGGGGGGGGGGGGGGGGGAATTTTGACCCAAAAGAGGGCTAAAAACAACCTTTTCGAGTGCAAATGGAGGGGTTGTCGAAAATTTGAAGGTTTTGTCGGAAATTTAGGAGACTTGCCCCCCACCGGAAAAAGTGGATTTCCTCCATTGCAACTTGGTATCCATTATCACCAAGCTAGCTCGCTACATTTCTATATTATGTTCGACTAAATGTAAAAACCAATCTGATATTTATACAAATTTATTTGCCAATTCTTTCACCCAAATTACAACAGTGAGCCTGTAAAAAGTACATGACTGGCGCGCAGATAGCGTGATATGACAATATTCATGTCCGTATTGGAATTTAAAGATAAATCACCATTGACAACATTAATATAAGGGATTTTAAGATTCACGTTTCTGGGAACGGCAAACGGCAGGTTTAAATTTTCTTGGCAAAATTTTCGTTCGACGTTTACGCTTCATATTTTCTTTCTTGTGTCGAAAGAATAATCATGATTTTTTTCTGTGTTGGTATTGTGTACTCAGGTGAATATGATGTTTGTGATGTTACTCTGAGTGTACATCCACACCGGGCAAGCTTGAAAAATATGCCTTGCCACGGTGGGAATAATCATGTATTGTAGTTTTAAAACAACAAGTTCATTTACTCTTTTTTGCCTGATACCGTAAAACATTTCTTTGCCTGGCGTTTGTCTTTTGACGTATAAACGCGAAGCTTAAACTCTCTTAAAATCCCTTATAATTTGTACCGCTGAAGAATAATTTCCACCACGGAAATAAGCAGCGGATCGGACCGGATCGGAACAAAACAAAATCTGGGCATGCGCCATCAGTAGAAATGTTTGGTTCGGATTTTTCCGGCGACGTGGCTGGCCGGATAATAAATAGTTGGAATGTTTTCAACTTTATTTGGTCCGGTCCAGCGGATTAAACTTGTCGACCAATCAAAATGCCGTATTATCTCACATAAATTAAAATAATTAAATACAGTAATACCTGTATAAAATTTACAAAATGGAGGGTTTGAGACTGGAACGAGCTCCATTTTTTTCCTTTTCCGATCCGATCTTTCCACTTGTCCTTTTACTGGAAATCGCTTGTTGGATGGGACCGGATCGGAAAAACCACCAATCCGGTTCTACCCGCTGCTTATTTTCAGGAGTGGAAATTCGCCTTAACACTTACCTGTACGGGAAATCTATTCCTATTCATATTCCTTTCCCAAACCGAAACAGTCTATAGTTTCATGGATGGTATCATAAGATCTAATAACGCTAAACGCAAATTGTGTTCAGAGCTCGACAACTATCTCTCTGTAGCTCAGTTGGTTAAAGCGCTGCACCGGAATCGCAGGTCAGCAGGTTCGATTCCTGCCAGAAGGCCGATAGTTGCATTTTTCGCAACTGCCCCTGGTTAGGTGTAATGAATGTATAAAAATTCCAATCGAAATTTCCATCTACAAATCCCATCACAATTTCTAACCATGATAACCATTCATATTTAGTCAAGTATCCAATATGTTTTCGATACTTTTAATGCTATTATTTTTTAGTATCAAATCCGAGCGCTGAAGAAGAAACTGAAGTCCTCCCAAAGGTACAGTTTTCCTATCAAGGAAAATGGAGCATGGATTGAAAATCAAGATATTCCACTGTGGCAGAAAAGGGCTTCAGCATTCGTCAGTGAAACTCCCACTGGTGAAGACAACCCAACTCTCACAACATAGTTCCGACGTTTGAACACAACCATTCACGTGTGGGTTCCGTATTGATATCATCAAGTACAGTACTGATCATACTAACTGATGTGCATGCCTAAATTTTACGTAGTTCATTACTAATGCATAGCATGTGATTCTTTGAATGCTCAGTGGAACTTAAAGGAATGTAAAAAGTTTGTTGTTATGAAATATACTGTACCCCTCTAAAGCAGTAGTATGTGGAATGGGGGGGGGCTCTTAAAATTTCCTTTCTGTTTAGGTGACCTAAACCCATCCTCAAGAATTTTATTAGCACTGAAATATCAAAACTCCGGCTGGTAGGAATGCAACTAGCTGAAAAATTTATCAAAGAGGAATTCGACGTTTCGGGCGGAAGTCCTGTAGCGTTAGTTAGTAACGGAGTTAATTATGGTAACGAAGTCGCTACTGACTTCCAGACGAAGACTTCTCGCTCGAAATGTGGAAATTTCCTCTTGTATTTGTCAGGTAATTACCTGAAGTTTTGTTAATTATTGGCATTATATACTGTTTCTACACTGGCTCAGACCTTTCAAGATTATAACACTGAAATAATCTTTTGATAATATTAAAATAACAATTTTTTGTTATTTTAATAAGAATTTGGGTTATTATACAATTAATTAAAGTACCGTTATTCCAATGTATTTGTATTTAATTTTTGAATGTCTGTAGTGATTGTTAATAACATCACTTAGACTGCAGGAAATCGTGTTTTAGAGACCCAAGAATCATAATATGTCTGGCTCTCCCTTGAAGAATAATGCAACTTTGTTAAAATTTAGTCAGGACTACATGCCCACTGCCCCAGAGTTGTTTACGTCAGCTAAACAGTATTGGAAAATTTTCCCTCCAATGTTCTACCGTACATAATTATGCATATTGTGCATTCAATACGAGGAATATATTAAATGCATCTTGTATGCTTAAAACTTGCGATTTAAAAAAGGAAACAATTCACACGGTCAAGATCAAAGAATGCGTTTATCTCCGAGCAAGTTTTTTGCGTTCCTTAAAGTTGTGGCTGAAAATGGGTTCTTTTACATGCTACAGTATAACTTATAGTTCGAATAATGTAATAATATTATAAGATATAAATGTTCAATTTATCAATATTTATGTACGATATAGATTTTGCTCCTAGTTATTTTTGTTTCGTAATTGTAGTCCTGAAACAAAAGGTTGACACTTGTTAATGGTAACGTGAGTACATGACGTAGTCTGCAGAACAGTAACTAATTATCAGGATTTGGGTCGGGGCATCTCACTCGATATTTAACAATTATTTGCCGCAGGCGAGGTGATTATCGGGGAATATTCGCCGAGACGAAGTCGAGGTGAATATTCAGTGGTTTAACGTTATATCAGGGGCCCCCGGTTCAAATTTTCGAAGGCCCCTAGCAGAAGCGCCAAAGGCACGAGTTGAGCGCCGCATATGCACAAGTTTTCAAGGGGTCCAGGGCATGCTCCCCCGGAATATTTTTTAATCTAGACTTTCTGAAATGCCGTTTCCCCGACTTTGGGGTGGGATTTTAAAGAATTCTAATGGTCAGAAATCGACATTGTGACATATCAGAGGCTCTGGCCAATGCTTTTGCTCTACAACCTGAACCTGGGGGCTCCTATTGGGCCCATTGGGGTTGGGGGCCCCCGGGTTCGCCCGGTCCGAGCCCATAGTAGTTACGCCACTGTGAATATTCCCCGATAATCACCGAGCCTGAGGCGAATAGTTGTTTTAGTATTTTTACACAAGAATGATTTTAAGCCGACAAACAGAAAGGCAGACTTCTAAAAAACTTGACCCACATCCCATCTCAACCCTAACCTCTCCCCTATACCCTAACCCCCACCAGTATTCGTTTATATTAACTGTATTACAGTGCGTCTACAGTAAGTGGGGCCACTTACAGAACACTAACCAATCACATTGAAGAACAGAAATTGGAAAAATCAACAAACGGCGCATTAGCCAATCAGCATTAGGCCAAAAACAATTTGAACAAATAAACGAATGTCAAACGGTAAAAATAGACTTGTAAAAGTAAACACTGCAGTTAATGGCTTCCTGTATCTTTCTTTTGATTGGACGAGCTTTAGTTTGATTAGATTTTTCTTTCTGTTCTGCAATGCGATTGGTTAGTGTTCTCTAAGTGGCCCCACTTACAGTAGATGCACTGTAATATAATCCTTGTTCGTGAACAGCAACTAAAGGAGCAGAGCAGTACGCTTTGCGATCAATTGTAAGAGAAAATTGTGACATGAGTAATTTTCAATTCGTTCCTGTAAAACCTGTGAATACAAACCAGCTTAGACCAAAATTTAACTGCACTCACATGGGAATCCGCTGACATACAGTATGGAATTACTGATTTTGTACACTAGCTCGAATACAAAATTTCAAAAAATGGTCTCTAAAGGTTTTTTGATGCAATGTTTCCCAAACATAAAGGGGATAACTATTCAGTATACGCTCAGTTTTTGCGAGTACTAATTGAAAGTTAATGTCAGACTTTACTGCTGTGCCCCATTCCTGCATGTTATACACGGCAAAAAACGCTCAGGTTGATGCAATACTGATGAAAACAGGATTGAACAATGTTTTGCTGCTCACATTGTTCATAGCTGTCAACAATTTTGAACAATATTGTTACACCCGATTCAGGCTCAACAACATTGTTCAATATTGTTGACAAGTGTGAACAATGTGGGCAGCAAAACATTGTTCAGTCCTGTTGAGCAACGGGCTCGGCGTTTTTTGCCGTGTAGGCTATACATGAGAGTTAATTTAATTACAGCGGTGATTATGTCTTATTTCTGTCCTGATTCTAATTTATATATTCGTTTTATTTGTCTGTCTGGTCGGTATAGACTCGCAAAGGGTTTACAAAACCAACTTCTCCCCACTCTGGATTAGCCTCATTTTCGCCGCAAAAGTCAGAGGTGTACCTCAAAGACAATGCAGACTTATTAATTATGGCAATTTGTTGGACATTGCTTGCAAATCTGAATTCTGTAGACAATGTTTAACAGGGCACTATCATAACACAATATGAAAGGAACTTCCAAACAGCCGTTGAATTTCTTGTTACCAAAGACGAGCCATTTTTGCATTTAAAACTGGTATTTGCACATTGACTGTCTGCTCTTTCAATAGTCCGTCACACGCCGTAAAGTCTTCTCTCTTCTAAGATTCCAGGTTTGTTTTCTGGTCCAAATACTGTTCGATTTTCTCCTTGTTAGACAAGCAAAATTTTTGGCACATCTCCTATCAGATGTGTTATATCGAAAGTTATACCACCTTGCTTGAAAGCACTCAAAAGGCAAAGGGAATTATGTTAATTATAAATACAAATATAAGGGAGACGCGCAATTTGGACTTCTGTTTTGCCTTACACAGTGCTGTAGTCCCATACATTCTGACAAATATCAAAGTAAAGTATGCAAAATTCAAAAATGGAGAAACACAAATGAACCTTATTTTCAATTTGGAGTAAAAATCAACAGAACAGCGTGTGACAAACCAGTAGGGTATTGTGCAGCTTGAGCGATGTCTTCAAAGATAAGTGTAAGGGATTTAAATGCGAGGTTGTGAGAGTAAAGCGTCTCTCTATTTTTTCTTTTCTTTCACGATTGTTTCTTGATGCTTCTTGATGATATTCGGAATTCCATTCTCTTTTCTCTTTTTGCGTTACTTTCCAGTAATAGATTACAGTAAAGATACTTTTCGCAGCGAAAACATGGCTCCTATATACAAGCTAGAATTATGAATGCAATCGCAGCTTCTGTTTTAGGTTTAGACAAATACAATGCCTCTCCTGCTCGATAATCGCTTGCCTCCATGCTGTCGACAACGACATTATATACCTCCATCAAAACTGTGCCAATCAAGAGTATTTGTTCTAATTTTCTCGTGCATCTTGTCAGAAGTAGATTCTGAACCATTCTTTTAGTTGCAACTCCCCGAATATATGTATAAATAGATACATATCTGATTTAAAAACAACATGCAATAGGTTTGGTTAGGTCCCAGGCCTGGTTACATTTCGGGCAGATTATTTTCCCCGACCGAGGATTATCCACATCATAATTCCTATGATGTGGATAATCATAATATGATGTGGAATTCATAATAGTAATATTTAATTAAGAGATTTTTAAAGATTATTAATTAAAGAGTTAGATTTATCGGTTATTGATCCTGGTAATATGTTCCATATTCTTGTTGTTCTTATCGTATAAGTCTGTTGGTAGGTAGAGGTTTTACGTTTCATAACTTGGAAGTTTATGGAGTTCGGATCCGATCCACTGATCTTGTAATTCGTGAGTTTTCATTATGTTTGGGAACAACTGCATCCGAGAGGCACATGATACCGCAATTTGCCTTGTAGAAAAATGTCTAGATATTCATGCCAATAACTTAGAGGTAGAAAGACCAAGTCAATAAGCCTTTGGATGTAGCTGCTTTCACAAAGGAAAGGTAGATCTAAAATGTATTTAGAAGCACGTCTTTGTACATGTTCTAAGCGAGCGATGAGGTCGATGGTTTGCGGAGACCAAACTTGTGTAGCATATCCCATTTGCAATCGAACAAGTGTGATATATAGCGTCCGACGGGCTTTACAGCTCTTGATTGTTCTTGTTGATCTTTTGATGAAACCCAACATTTTATTTGCTTTTGAGCATTGTTCCAATACTTGTTTGCGCCAGTTCAAATTGTTTGATATCCATACGCCGAGATCACGCTCATTTTCAACGTTTTCTAACATGCTACCTTGTAAGGTGTATGGATACTTGATCTGGCGATGTTTTCTGGTGACCCGCAAAGCTTTACATTTGGAAGAGTTTAAGTGAAGACCCATATCTGAAGAACTTGACTCAAAATTACTCAGGTCCCCCTGTAACAATGCAGCATCACCGATATTATGGATTTCTTTGAAGATTTTGGTGTCATCAGCGTATGTTGCAATGGATGAATTCTTCACAGAAGAAGGGAGATCATTCTCGTATAACAAAAACACCGGTCCGAGAATGGAGCCCTGAGGTACCCCTGATGTTACTTGACTAGGTAAAGATGTTGCACCGAGGATGGTTGTTTGTTGACGACGATCTTGTAGGTAGGAGCCGAACCAGTTGAGAATGTTGCCTCCAAAACCAAATTCACGGAGACGAAGAAGAAGACGTTTATGGCTAACTTTGTCAACAGCCTTTGACATATCTAAATAAATTACATCGATCTGTTTGCCACGATCTAGTTGTTTTCCTATCTTGTCAAAAACTTCGATAAGTTGGGTCACACAGTTTTTCCCGGGAAGGAAACCATGTTGACAAGGATTTATTCGACAGAAAATATGATCTTTAATAGTATTGAAGACACAGCGTTCTAGAACTTTCGAAACCAGAGAGAGCAGAGATATAGGTCTATAATTTTCCACAAATTCCTGGTCTCCTTTTTTATGAGCAGGAACAACATTAGCGAGTTTCCAATCAAATGGTACCACGCCGATACGCAACGATTTGTTAAACAATTGACATAGAGATGCAGCTATTTGAGATGCAGTTTCTGTTAGTAAACGAGCAGGAATCCCATCTGGGCCATGAGCTTTGTCATTATCAAGAGTTCTTAGTACATTAGCTACGTCGTCAGGTGTTAAAACAACATTCGTCCAACAAGGAAATGTTTTCATCGATCGTGGATGGGTCTATAGAAGTATCTGGATCATTGGTGAAGATGGATGTAAAATAATTATTAAAGAGAGTTGCTATGTCCGCTGGTGTTTCTGAGTATTTCCTTGAATTTCCTTCAACCCCCATTGAGACTTCCTCGGGAACATTGCAAGATTTGGTTTTTAGCTTGAAGAGCGACCAGAAACGCTTTGGGTTATTTCCGTGATCATCACAAATAGAGTTGATGTACTTTGAACGACTTTCACGCAGCATTTTTTTAATGGCAGTTCTGAGATGTTTGAATTTTTCTTTCAGGTTAGTAGATGTAGGAGCTTTCCTTAACTTCCGCCGTACAGAGTTTTTCTTTTTGATATTATGCATTATAGCACTGTTCATCCACGGGACGTAATAACGGCTTCGTAATTTTGTAGATGGAATATGATCCGATACCGTCGCTAAGAAAGTATCTTTCCAATTACGCCAATCTTCGTTAATATCACCATCGCTTGAAATTAACCCAGAGAGGTTTAAGGACTCGAGAGCAGATCTAAGAGCTGTAAAATCTCCTCGCCGATAATCATACACCGTCCTGTTAGTTTTTGGCAAGCGTTTGGGGTGAACAAAGAGGTCAAAACTGATTACACTGTGATCAGTAAAGATATCTGCTTCAGCAGGGGACAAAATTTCGCTAATTTTAACCAGTTCCGGAATGTTTGTGATAACGAGATCGAGAACGTTATTTTCTCTAGTTGCGGTGTTGTTGAGTTGAACCATAAAATAGTCATTAAGTAGTTCAATAAAAGCATTCTCAGAGAAACCTGTCGTTTGTTCTGGTGAGTTCCATGAAATTTGCGGAAGATTAAAATCCCCTGCGAGAACAATGTGTTGGTGACTTGAACAAATATCACCAAGAAAGTTGTTGAAACGTTCTATCCAAGTCTGATCTTCATTTGGAGGACGATAGCAGGAACCCAGTATTATTTTCATGTTTGTAGCTGTTGTTATTTCAGCCAAGATGATTTCTAGGTCATAATTGTGTTTAATTTCATGCACAGATTTAAAGGAAGATGTTTTTACGCCTAACAGTACTCCACCACCGCGAGTTTTTCGATCATTCCTAAAAATAGAATAACCTGAGTGCAGAATTTCAAGATCGCAGATGTCTTTCTTTAGCCAAGTTTCATTCACAAAAATAATATCACTGTCCTCGGAGTAGACCAAATTCTGGAAGAGTTCCATGTTACTGCGTTTACCTTCACTGTTGTTTGTTCTATGTAAGCTTGTTAGACTTCTTGCGTTAAGAGAAAGACATTTTACTGTTCGATTGCTAGTTGAAGAAGTACGGGGACCAGGGTTTGTCGCCACATCACCAGCCAGTAAAATTAATAAAACAACGTGAGATGGTTTACGGTCAATTTGTAGATTTATTCCGTATTGATAGTTTAAAGGACAGTTGAATTTCCTTTGTTTTAAATCTCGAGTAGCAGTCCAAACACAACACAGTTTGTCAGGTAAAATTGCAAGTTCAGAATGAATAGCAATGCCATTTAGCGTTGTTTCGACAGGAATGTACGATGGTTTCAGTTTAAAGCACAACCAGAGAATTGTCATAAGAAGCATAAAGCAGTTCACACCATTCTTTATCCAGTCAAAAAAATTCCAAGTGTTTCCAATATCTATTCCATAAATGTTCGATACGCACGCAATTTTGGTCCGACGTTTAAACTTGCGCACCGTCGTCACCATACTCGTGGCGTATTGACTAACGTATATAGAGTAACTGACAATTATAAAATCCAATTTCGATAAAACAAATGAGAAAAGTCCACGAAAACAACACAGAAACAAACAAAAACTTTATACAAACTTCAGAATCCTTCAAACGAAAGTCTTACGGAACACTTGAAATGGTATTTGTGTTAAAGGAAGTGCAAAAATCAGTTTAAAATGCGTAAAAACGCAGAGCACTTTCGTGCGTGACCACACGCGGCCACGTCACGCCACGTCGCGTGACAATAATCAAAACATCTCTGATCCAGCTGTAATTGCTGATCGTTTTAATAATTATTTCATTGTCGGACCTAGCTTAGCCAAACAAATCACCTATTTCTTGACGGACTGCTACTTCATATCTTTGTGGGAATTTTGCAAATTCTATCTTTTTTTACTTTGTTTCCGAGTTCGAAATTAACGAAATAGTTAGTTTGCTTCGTCCTGGGGCCGGTTGTATAAAAAAGTGATTAAAGTTAACTATAGTTAGTGGAAACGTCATCCAATAAGAAACACGTATTTGAGAGTTAATCACTATTTAACCACAAAATAGTGATTAAAAAAGTGAATAAGAGTTTTATACAACCGGCCCCTGATGCTGCTGCAGGACATGACACAATTCCCATGTGGGCAGTGAAAAATTCTATTGACCTTACCTAAGCCGTTGTGTGAAATCCTTAATTTACTATTGAAAACCGCATTATTCCAGATCAGTTAAAAATTGCGTGGATAGCACAAATATTTAAATCAGGTGACAATAGTCTGTTTTCAAATTATAGGCCAATATCGTTCTTACCAGTTTTTTCCGAAATCTTGGGAAAAGCTCTGTATAACCGGCTTATGAACTTTATAAATATAAAGATAAATGGGATTTTATTTAGAAACCAGTTTTGTTTTAAAAAAAATCACTCGACCTCTCATGCAACTTATAAATCTTTATGATCAAATTTCTACAGGTCTTGATGCTAATAAGCATACTGTTGGAATTTTTCTTTATCTATCTAAGGCATTCGATACGGTTGATCATGAAATACTGATTAATAAACTTGAGCACTATGGTATTCGAGGATTGGCTCTTGATTGGTTTAAAAATTACTTATCTCATAGATTACAGTATGTAGAGTTTAATGGTACTACTTCTATGTTTAAAGATGGCGACCAATCGTGTGTGGCGATCAATCCAAGATGGCGACCAGACGTGTTATGGCGAACTCCGATATTATTCCACCATTACTTGATAAATCTCGTAAAGAAATTGTTAATTCATCAACTATTGGTATTGATTTTCTTGGTAATGCTTTAAGCAACGACCTTATTTACGAGGGCACACGTTTGAAATGGTGCAATGATTTAGACTCTCTTAAGGCGTTTGTTGCCGAAGTGCTTGACCTAAACGGGAAATGGTGTTCTCCTGGAGGTGGGTCTAAGAGGTTCACAAGCTCCAATGCTGAACTAACTTTGACGTGGTATTCAGGCAAGCAAAACACTTTATTATTTCAAGGCAAAGATGGCAACCTAATTCGGGATGGATGTGTCAAATTTTGTCAGACACGGGATGGTGTTATGAAGTCGAGTTGTAAACAAGTGCAAGCCCTGTCGAAAAATTCAGAGTTACAGCGGGATCTCATTGCTCAAAATATTTTGGAACCAGAGCCTACACCTATATCGAGACCGGCCAACCAAGTTGATGCCGCATCACAGGTTTGTCTAGACATTATAGGTGATAATTCCAACTATTTGTCGAGCTGTCGCTGTTCGTGTGGCGTTCTAGCTGCTGATGTTGAGGAAGTTAAATTATATATTACTATTCTATCTAACAGAATCGATTCGATTGCAAATGCTAATACCGAATATTCTCATAAAGATAAAGAAATTGATCGTCTTCGGAGTGAACTTTCGATTGAGAAGGCGAGATTTGAAAAGCTTAAATCTGAGTTGAGTTTATTTGTGAAAGAACGATCCCTTGAAATTGAAAAGTTGAATCTGACCATTGTTTCCCTAGAGAATAAAAATGCATCTACATTTGCTGCTCCGATGAACAATAACAATAACAATAGTAAGATTAATAAAATAATATCATGATTGCGGGTATTCCCTTTGTTCTCGCAGGGCAATTAAAAACTAATACACCTCATTATATTCATATTTTCTAATCCTACCCGCTTTTACGTCATGTCAGGTAGAATTAGTTCTAATCCTACCCGAAACGACGTCAAAGCGGGTACGATTAGAAAAAATGAATATAAATGAAGATATCTGAAATCGCCAAAACTAAACAAAGACATGGAAAACAATTATACCATTTAATTTATACCATTATTTATTGTTAATTGTTTTTTAATGGCCCTGCGAGAACAACGGGAATACCCACAATCATGATATTATAAGGTAATAGCATAAAAAGAAGCGAATTAGCTATTGAAAAGTCCCGCCCGATGAGGGTCGTTTAGTAAAATTCCCTTGGGCGCCGCTCGATTCGGGTCATTTAGTAAAATACTAAATGACCCTCATCGAGCGGCGCCCAAGGGAATTATACTAAACGACCCTCATCGGGCGGGACGTTTTAATAGCTAATTCGCTTCTTTTTATGCTATTACTTATAAACACTCTTATGAACAAAAACAACAGAAGTGGTCACCGAAACAATGGTCATCATAACAACAATGGGTTAAATCAATGCAAATCTCAAAACGTCAGTTTACAACTTTTCATCCCTGCTCCTGTAAATAATAGGGACCTTGAAAGTGTGCCGTCTCACGATACTAATAGGGACTTACAAAACAAGGCACTACAAATCAATCAAATTGCAAATATGCCCGAAAAGCAACCAATATCGGATTGGATTGGTTCTTTACCGTTAATAGATATACCCATCCAAGCGAAAAATAACCAATATATTAATGGAAATACCTCGAACAAGCCTCCTTTCCCCAAGCGCCATCGAATGAAACCACCACCCTATCGAACGGGCCATCGCCACCAATCCCTCGAATGGCTGAGCCATTTGGACTTTGTACACCAACTGTGCAAGAGGTAGGAAATGTGACAACTATGTCTATTCCTACACGAATTACTGCACGGAAATCCCAACCATTTCTTACAACTTACCAAAATCACCATAGACCTTGTGGCTCTAACATACTAAATCTGAAAAATATTGTCATACACAAACCTAATGCCTGTATTACAAAGTCCTCAAAGTCACATTTACCTAATTTCTGCTGTATTAATGCCAGATCGCTGCTTCCAAAAATAGATGAACTCACCTTGTTTTTAAGTTGTCGCCAACCCAGTGTAGTGGCGGTCACTGAATCGTGGTTGAACAGTGACATCGAGGATGGACTCGTTTCGATAAACGGATATAACATTTTTCGTAAAGACCGTTCTAGCCGTCGTGGAGGAGGAATTTGTGTTTATCTACCACAGGGCACCTATGCCAAACGTAGGTTGGACTTGGAACATGAAAATTTAGAATGTCTGTGGCTGTGGCTTCGCCCTACCCGCCTTCCCAGACCGCTCTCTGGTATTGCAGTGTGCATAGTCTATCATCCCCCTGGTTTACCTGTAGAAAACCACCGCCAACTTAATGAATACTTAGTTTTAACAATAGATTCATTACGCAACCAACATCCCAACTGTGGTCTAGTCCTTCTTGGTGATTTTAACGATTTCGATATATCGAATATATTATCAAGTCATAACCTGAAGCAAGTTGTCAAAGACCCTACAAGAGGAACAGCCATTTTGGATCTGATAATTACGAACCAACCAAACCTGTATGAACCTCCCCAAGTTTTAGCGCCCTTAGGGTCCTCAGACCATAATATTGTAACATGGTCACCCAATCTAGAGAATACCAATCCTCAAGAACGTACGAAATCTGTCAAACGTCGCATCCGGCGCTATCCAAGGTCTGGGGTTGAAGCTTTGGGGAGATGGATCGCTACACATGTCTGGTTTGGCGAGTTAGGGACTAATCAAACGGTAGACGATTTAACATCATCATTCTCATCGCACCTTACAGAAGCCATTACACCCGTTTTCAAAATTACGCGACCAAAGACGAAAATGCTAGAGTTGACATGTCAGTTTTATGTCATTCGATCACGAAGTTCAAATTTTGAGTTTTGCGGTTCCTTGTCGATGTATATGCTTTGTATGCTTCATATAAACAGACTTACAATGATTTTCAAGATATTTTAGTGAGAATTATTGTAAAATTTAAGCACGACAAAATCATAACATCACCGTTATAGTCTAGCGCGCGTGTTTTACACTGACAGCTATATTCCAGGATAAATTGTTATTTTTCAAACTTTAAAAGTCATTCACGGCACATATTTATGTTGTGATGGTTTGTATTGTGCTTTAGTTTGTATATCTAAGTTATCTGACTAATTTTTGTTCAGTTTTGGTATTAAATACGGTTTAAAATGTCTTTAGACAGTTTGTTTACGTTTGCTATTTTTAGCAGTTCTTGTGACATAAAACTGACATTTGAAGTAGGAGTATTTTTCAGGGAGGTCGCGTAATTTTGAAAACGGGTGTAATCGTATATTCCCTCCTATAACTGTGAAGTGGCATCAAACCGATAAACCTTGGATAACCCCAAGTATTAAAAAACTGATTAAGACCGACAGAAAGCATTCCATAACCATAATATCCCCCTATGGAAATCTTTAAGATATAAAGTCCAAGAGGAGATTAAGCAAAGAAAGAAATCATTTTATAAAAACAAAGTTCAGCATTTAAAAAACAGTGATAGTCGTAAGTGGTGGAAAATCATTAACAAAATGTCTGGCAAACCCGAAACAACAAAGCCTTTCACCTTAGAACGCGATGGTGAAATCCTAACAATTTACAAGCTTCCAATGCCCTTAACGAATTCTATACTTCCGTTGACGCTGACATTCCGCCATTAGATGTGAACTTATTACCACCGTTTTTACCATCAAATGAAAACGTACCTGCAGTTGAATGTTACCAAGTCTGTAAGAAACTCCAAACTGTCCATTCTTTCAAAGCCCCCGGACCTGACAATATTTCACCTCGAATTTTAAAGGAGTATGCTCACGTGTTAGCTGAGCCGATCACCATTATTTTTAATACATCCCTTGCTTCAGGAGTTGTGCCGAGTAGTTGGAAGGAATCAAACATAGTCCCAATCCCTAAAACATGTAAACCGATTGCTGAAGCCGACACTAGGCCTATATCACTAACATCGTGCTTGTCTAAAGTTTTAGAGGATTTCGTAGTATCTTGGCTGATTGAGGATGTAAAAGAAAAAATCGACCCCAGCCAATTTGGTTGCCTGAAAGGGACATCCACCACTTTTTGCCTTCTGGATATGTTACATACTTGGCTTTCCCATCTTGACGGACTCGGTAATCATCTGCGTATTTGTTTCCTGGACTTCTCCAAAGCCTTCGACCGCATAGGTTATAATCTATTAATTGAGAAACTGATAAATTTGGGTGGTAGACGCTCATTAATCCCTTGGATCATCAACTTCCTCTCAAATCGAAGGCAGCGTGTTAAATTTGACGGAGAAACCTCTGACTGGCTTCCAGTGAATGCAGGTGTTCCTCAGGGGACAAAACTAGGTCCAATCTTGTGCCTAGTAATGGTCAATAACCTGCGAATCACTTCTCCCGACATCAGAATGTGGAAATACGTAGACGACGTTTCAACCTCTGAGAGTCTTAGCAGAAATTGCACCTCTATCACTCAATCAACCCTTAATTCAGTTCAGTTGTGGGCTTCCGATAATTGGATGAAACTTAATATCAAAAAATGCAAAGAGCTTCGTGTTAGTTTCCTTGGAGAAACCCCCCAATTAATGCCTCTGTTAATCGATGGACACCCAATTGAGACAGTGCGTTCACATAAAGTACTGGGACTTACGATCCAAAACAACCTGAAATGAAATGAACATATCCATGAAATAGTCTCGAAGGCATCCAAACGATTGCATGTCCTCCGGGTGTTGCGCCGAAGTGGTATTCCTCCTGCAGACCTTCTCACTGTGTATATTGCGTTAATACGCTCAATCCTTGAATACTCTTGTGAAGTTTGGCACAACTCTATCTCATGCTATTTATCTGACAAACTTGAAAAAATCCAAAAGCGAGCCTTGCGTATTGTATACCCTGAACAAACTTATAAAGATGCGTTGCTGTCGGCTGGTATCACCAAATTGGAGACTAGACGTGAAGATCTATGTTTGAAGACACTCACGAAGATAACCAGAGGTGGTCCGCTTACACAACACGTGACCCAGACTAGATCGAACGAGCATAATTATTTTATTAGATCATTAAATAATTTATCAACTTATAAATGTCGAACTGATCGGTTTAAAAATAGCTTTTTCCCAAATACAATTAATATTGCTAATAGTAAACAGTGACTGGTGAGACTTGATTTTAACTTTGTCCTAACAACCATTGTAAATAATCTTATATTATTATAGTATTTTAATGTAAGCACTTTGTACTTAAATTTATACAATACAGACAGACAATATCGCGTAAACGAAAGCCCATTATGGCCTCATACTCCATGGGAAATACGCAGCTCGACCACTGTTTCCAAGAACGTGACCTTGGAGTATGGATCTCGTCTGATCTATCGTGGAAGAAGCAGGTAGAATCGCAGAGTACAAAAGCAAACCAGATCTTGGGGTACGTGAAAAGAACAACAAAAAATTTAAAGTCTCTCACAACAAGACGAACAACTTATTTAACAATTGTACGTGCTCATCTTGGTTACGCGACACAAGTCTGGGCGCCTCAAACTGTAGAGCAAATAAGAAAGATTGAACGGGTTCAGCGACGTGCAACTAAATATATTCTCCATCTGCCATTTAACCCCGACGTCTCATACAAAGACAGACTAATTCAATGTAACTTAATTCCATTAACTTACTGGCATGAGTACTTAGACATGGTCTTTTTCTTCAAACTAATAAACAATCTTATCCATGTGAACGATACTTTCCTACCGAAATCAAAGAAATCTGAGAGATCAACAAGATTGTCGCGTAGTGCGGTTGGTACTACCTTCAAAGAGCAACGATACAGAACATCAACGTACAGCAGATCTTACTTAATACGATCAACACGGACATGGAACGCACTACCGAAAGAAATAACCCAAAACCACAACAAATCTTCTCTTGCCACTTTCAAGAATATTCTGAAAGAATACTACTACTCCGCTCTTTCCTTAACTTTCGACCCTGACGACCCACGTACATGGAAGACAACCTGTGTCAAATGTAACTGTGTTCGAAGTTTGCTGGTTCCCCCTTCTTGTTGTTTTTGAACCTCGCGCAACTGATTATTTATATTTTGGTAAAACCAGGGCCTTTCCATACCAGGTAATTCCAAATCGCGGCTGTGAACGGGAATCTTTCAGGTTATTTTCAAACTGGATTGTGTGTAAATTTCAGTCACTGTGTTTTTAAGGTTTTTTCATATCCGTACTATTACATTGTATGGAAAGGTTTTGCTTTACCAATGGTAAAATATATTTTTATAAGTAAGTGTCTGATTGCTTGATCTCTTGGTTGGTTGATTGAACACGTCAATTGAACAATTCGTTAATGATTGATTGATTTTATTATTTAGTCCTTTTCCGTTTACTGTTCAGTAAACTTAACTAATTTAACGAATATTGTGAAGAAGGATCCGCAGTAATTGGCTGTAGCTGTTGCGGAAATCCTGCCTTGTTTATATATATATAGTAATTTGATGTTTCTTCTTAATATTGTTACCAAGGCAAAGTCAGATAAATTAAAAAATTAAATTAAATTTATGTGCGAAATTGTGCTATTAAACATCATCTCATCTTATCTTAAGTTACCTGTGGAGTTCCTCAAGGGTCAATCCTCGGTCCGTTGTTGTTTCTTATCTATATTAATGATATTTGTAACACGACCGACTATGGTGAATTTATTCTATTTGCTGACGATATCAATTTGTTTTATTCTCATGAAAATATATCTACTTTGACGAGTGTGATAAATACTGAATTAAGCTCTCTTTGAATATAAAGAAATCAAATTACATAATATTTAAACCCAGGCAAAAAAGACAAGTGTATAACCTGGCACTTGCGATTAACAATAACATAATTGACAGGGTTAAAGAAGTTTGTTTTCTTGGCGTTATTTTGGAAGAGAATTTAACATGGAAAGCTCATGTATCTTATATTGCACGTAAAATTTCAAAACCAATTGGAATTATCTATAGGTCAAGATTTTATTTATTCAAATCTGCCTTGCGGATTTTATATTTTGCACTAGTATATCCGTATCTTTAAATTTGCGTTACGATTTGGGGTTCAACATATTCAAGTAATCTTAATCGTATTGTACTGTTGCAAAAACGTGCAGTACGAATTGTCGACAAACAATTTTTCGGTGCTCATACTACTCCTATTTTTTACAAACACAAAATACTGAAATTTGAGGATATCTATTTACCTCAATTGGGTAAATTTATGTATCTATATCAACAAAAATTACTTCCTGATGTTTTGAAGGTCTATTTTCATACGGTAGTCAGATAACTCAGACTCATAATTATAATACACGAAATGCTAAAACTTTTTATGCCCTCCAACGTAGGACAAATATTCGTCAGTTTTCGGTCAATTATCAGGGTCCTAAATTCTTTAATACGTTGAATCCCGATATACGTATAACTCTTCATCTGTATTTAGATTTCAGTATATGTTAAAATTGTTTTTCTTTTCTCAATACACATAATCTCAATAATTTATTTATTTCAAATACGTCACGTGATGATTTTTCGTAACATTTGTATTTAATACAACATAGCATGAGGTAGCCCAAATTTCTATAAGCCTGTTGGTTTCTATTTGGGCTTCCTCACCACTTTTGTTCAAAATTATTATTTTTCTCTATCAACTTACATATCTTTCTAATAACATTTTATTTATATATATATATATATATATATAACTATTACTTATTTGTATTGTGGTAAACCAAATCAATAAATCATTCATTCATTCATTCATACCTTCACCTGGGTAGCTACATTTACCACAATCATAACGTTCATTTTTTTATTTTTTTTTTTTTTTTATTAGATCTTGATTACGAAAATGAGCCTGTGTAGCTATCAGCATTTTCCAAGCATGAGCTCGACCTTCGAATTTACTATATAAGTAAATTGTTAAACACGTCCGAAATTATCAATACGGCAGCAAATTCACGACACATGTTAACTAACCCTATAACCCTAAGGGGCCGACCATTTAACTTTTGAGTGATTTACTTCTGGCAGGGAATTTTTTTCTGGGATCGTTATGTGCAAGATTTTTTTTGTATCCCATCACCATGTACGATTTTTTTGCCACACTTTCTTTCACAGCATTTTTTTTCAATAGCTTATACTATATAGATTCTGTAATTATAGTTTTCCACTTCATGCACTGCTCTTAATAATACATATTGCTATGAGGTATAACATTTGGTTTAGGGCCTTTTTTAAGGATGTGTAACTGGAGAGGACATAATTAGCGGGTGATCTGGAGAAGTTCCAGTCGGCAAGTCTGTATCCAGGACCGTAGCTAGCATGTATAGTTGGGGGGGGGGGGGGGGGTAGGCCAAAAATTTCCGAATGACGAAAAAAATTTCCGAATATATCATGGCATACTAAGCCACGAAGGTGTTTGCTATTCGGAAAATGAAGACGTAATTTACAAACAAAAATACGCATATTTTACGCACAGACGTATTACAGAAGCAGTGTGGTAGGGAGCTTTTGTTTTTTGGGGGCAGAAAACGAGGGCCGGAGGACCGAGGAAATTTCTAAATTTCGAGTCTCTGAAATGCCATTTCATGGACTTTGGGGAAGTTTTGACAGAATGCTGATGGTCAGAAAAAAGCGTTTTAGTATGTCGAAATTTACAATTTGCTTACAATTTATAGTGACAATACAATTTTATAATATTTTCTCTGTTTAACAACTAAAATTTTGTTCTACTATTATTGCCGTAATTTTCCGAATGGCCAACCCGATTTTCTGAATATGTTGATTCTAAAAACGTTGGGGGTTAACCACCCCCCAATACCCCCCTCGCTACAGCCCTGTCTATATCACTGCAGCTACCTACAGCATATATATGCATGGTTTAACTAATAAGTATACGGCATAGGGCAGCAGCTCAGACCATGCTTAACTAGGAATCTGAGACAACTGAGTCGACCACCGAAGGTGCTAGCCTCTAGAGGGGTCTGGGGGGATTCCCCCCCCCCAGAAAATTTTGGATTTTTTGAAGCTCAGATAAGCTATTTCCAGCATTTTGAGCTTTCCAACAAGAAATTAACCTTACACTAGTCCCTGAAAATCAAACCAGCCGATCTTCTCGGACTGGTCAAATTGATCCCTGCAACCATGCTGTTTTGCAACATTTTTTTCCCCACCAAATACTGGGGCAGGATATTTTTTTCCCCAGTTTGTTAGTGCAGGTATTTTTTTTGTTCAGAATAGCCTTGCAGGAAATTATTTTTCAAAATCACCCCCCCCCCCTCAAAAGTTAAATGGTCGGCCCCTAATGGTTTCATGTGGAGTTGCGAATACACCTTTCGATAATTACGTCATGAATACGTTCTCGGCCTGGGAGCCTCGCTCTCGTGAATCAAGACGAAAGGCGATTGGCTCACGATTAATGAAAATGAGGGTCACAGGCCAAGAACGTATTCATGACGTAATTATTGAAAAGGTGTATTTATTTTATTGATAATTTCGGACGTGTTGAACAATTTACTTAAAAACTTAAGGTGGGAACCCTTAGAAGTAAGACGCAACTACTTGAAAGCTATTTTCATGTATAAAATAATTAATGGCCACACCGCACCTAATCTAAAAGAATCGTTTCGATCAAACAACGAAATAGATAATTCTTACAATCTCAGTAATAGAGAAACTGACTTAGCACTTCCTATGCCAAAGAAAGAATTTGGCAAGAGGTGCTTTAACTATAATGGGGCCTCACTGTGGAACAATCTTCCCCAGGAGGCAAACAATTCAGAATCGTTAAGCTCTTTCAAAACAATTTTGAATCAGAGAATTTGTTGAATCTGGCTCATCAAAATATATTAACCTCTAAGCAGTACAACTGTGCTATTATTCACTTGTTGCTAATGGTTTTATCCTGTAAATAGTTCTAAATCACGCCCCTCATGAAAATCAGCTTGTAATGTTGTTGAGGCTAGCGTGAATAAATAAAGTTTGTTTGTATGTATGTATGTATGTATGTATGTATGTATGTATGTATGTATGTATGTATGTATGTATGTATGTATATATGTATGTAAATTCAAAGGTGGAGCTCATGTTGCATTTTCCAGAAAATTGTGTTTTAAGCTTATGTCCAAGACCTTCTACAATAAAATACAGGGCACATACCGTACACTTTGCTCAGGCATGTTCAATCTTTTCACTAGATCATCGACGTATATTCCTTCTTGTGACTTAGCTTGGTTGACCATTTCGTAAACCTAAAAATTATTCACAAATAAAAAGCTGACATTCACTGCTGCCAGGTTATTTTTCATCTCGGTTTGCTTGTGTGCGATAGTTCGCCTGTCTGTCAGAAGGACAACTTTCGAAAAAAGGTTATGGCCTTATGGCTAAGGGAATATCGACATAATTTTGGTTGAATTAGCACTTTCTTCCGGAGACGAATTTAGTTTAATACGCGTGCTGTATAACCCAAAAATGTAAGGCTTCCATTCTTCCAGTGCTCCTCCGTGCGTGATCACTAGTTACCTGAATGCTTTACACTTTCCGGGTATACAGCCCGCGTGTTAAACAGAATGTCTTGGCGGAAAGTGAGATGAAAAGTGATTAAACTGTGATTGCAATTCCGTATGAAAACAATCGCAGGATGCTCTACTAATTTTCCCGCCTTTGCTCGAAACGTCGAAGTTCTCCTTATGTTTTCCAGGTATTTGTATCAAAATCTATCAATCTGCAGCTGTCCGTCGAGCTCTAACCACAAGTTCATGAATATATTAGCCATTCCGAAGTTGATGAGTGGACTGGGCACGAGTGTTAAAAAGTGCCGAGATTAAGAAATTAACCAAATCACTAAAAAGACCACCTCAAAATTAGTAATTATACAAAGTTTGAAATTACATGAATACCCTTCGAATAATAAGCTTTCGAAAACTGTGAAATTACTGGTTAAAAGATTGTTTTAGGGATGGCCTCCCCCCAAAACAAAAATTACAGTACATTTTACAGTAAATATCGCGATTTTCGAAAGTTTACTAGACATATTTAGAAAAGACGACGCGATCTCAAAGACGACGTGGATGGCGTCATTTGGCACCAACTATCGTCAGCTTCTGGTTTGCCACGTCACAGAATAAGAAGGTACAGCAGAAGTGTAACTTGAGTCGGTTCCTTTATTGTTTTACGTCCACGAAAATTTTAACTCGCTCACGCCATCCTGGCTAGTACAGCCGGAAGTTTTTATCAGGTTTTGGTAGGTACAAAGTGCCGGTTGTACTAGCCAGGATGGCGTGATTGATGACGAATCGCTTGTAAAAACGCGGACAAATACTTGCTTGAGTTACACTTCTGCTGTACCTTCTTATTCTGTGGCCACGTTGTCTTGGACGATTTCACGACGCGAAAATAGAATTTTCACGTCCTCTGTAGAACGTCACAGATTTATGCTTCTTTTGAAAAAAAAAATGAAAGTATGCATGATAAAAATCATCTTATTTTGTTCCCCATGTATGGTTTAATGATTCTAGTTAAAGGTTTTCATTGACAAGGTTGTTTTTCTGCATGTATTTCGCTAAATTTTGAACGTGTTCATTTTTGACAAATACTTTCGGTCGCCATAACAAATCAACAAAACTGCAAGCATTGTAAAAAACCACTTCAATACCGCTAGTATTCTTCACCAAAACAAACATTTTAGAACAAACTGAACTGAAATTATATTAACAACTGTTTAAAATCAGGAAAACTTGGGAAGATAGAAGAATAAAAGCACTTAAAAGCAGTGAAAACTCAATCAATTTTAGTTGCTCTGTCACAACAGTGCGAAAAAGTAGGACAAGTAAAAAAACGCTTTCCAGCGTGAAAAACTATCGTAAACAGTATTAAATTTTACCAATATAAGCACTGATGCCATATTTATACTAAACAGTTGACAAACTTGATTAAATAGGCTACAGACTAAAGCATTTAGCTCGTAAACAATATCTGCAACTATTGTATTTATTCCAAATGATGCAACAAAGTTCACTTTTCAAAATACTGAAATATACGTCTTTTTCTAAAAAAAACTTATTGAATGTTCATACTAATTCATCAGGAAACACTTGGCCAGTAGTATATAGCCTTTTCTTGCACATATCTTGACAACTGATTGAAAACAATACAGGAATGAGCAGGTAACAAGAAAACAAAAATTTGCTTCGAAAACGCGAGGTGCATACGTCATTTTCACGTCGTCTTTGAGGTCGCGTCGTCTTTTCTAAATCTGTCTATTATTCGAAGAGTGTTCATGTAAATGTCTTCAAACTTTGTATACTTACTAATTTTGAAGTGGTCTTTTAAGTGATTTGGTTCATTTCTTAACTTGGGCACTTTTTAACATTCGTCCCCAGTCCTCTCATCAACTTCGGAATGCCTAATACTGTATTTACCGGGGAACTGCCATGTTAGGTTAAGGGTAAACATCTAGATTTTGTCGGACCTGTAGTTGCAGGGACCTGTAGTAAATGCTTCTGTTCCTGGTTAGGTCTAATAAATGTATATAAATTTCCACTCGATAATTTCCATCTACAGACCCTTCAAATATTGTTCAATCGAGTGAGATGCCAACACAGAATCTCAACAGATTCATGCAACTGCAATTATCCCGACGAAGAACGCGTCATTTTGATGCACTGCAGCCAATCAAACACTTATTCTATATATCTTGAAATCATGTTTGAAATTATGGACTGCATGGGGGGGTTCGTAAATGCCAGGTTAAACAGTTCGAAGTGTTGTATAAATAAAACATTTAATAGTCTGAGGATAGATCATTATATAAAAACATAGAAATTGTTTAATACCCTTTTCTGAGCTTGGGACATGTTTCCAATTTGTGGCCCAAATTGATTTCTTTGAGCAGAGAACGAATTGTTGTTTCCAAAATTGGTGGTGGTGTCAGGAGTGACGGCTTCCTCGTGCACACGCTGCAACAGAAATAAATATGGAAATTTATATACGGTAGGCATATTCTGGACTGATATTACTTTGGCATAACAACGTCCATGGGCATAAAAACTCCGCATAAAAGAACCACTATTTTTGTTGACAGGCTGAAGTGGTTCTTATATGACAGGTACACATATTGCAGCATGAAATCAGCCAGGATTTCTTGCAGGGGCGGATCTAAGCTCATCCGCAAAGTGCAGGTTTTCCATCGGGTGGTGCTAGTGCTGTGCGCCGGAGTTGGCGGAGCCGGAGTTCTGCCGGAGCTCCGGCGGTTTTTCCGACGCCGGAGCCGAATTTTGTATGCCGGAGCCTGGAGCCGGAGTTACGTTTTCCCAGCTCCGGCAAAATGACAAGAAAACAATATGAAATGAGACAAATGTCAAACGATTGTTAGTTACTGCAAACTGCCAGTTGCTGTTAATGAATTCATCACAGACTCAAACTGCCACAGCCCACAGGAACAGCGTCGAAAAGCTGTAATACGATCGCAACTTACAAACGTCATGCTTTCATGAAGCCATCTGACTTAGCGCTACATACTGTAGTCTGTGTATTCATGCCTTGTAGATAACGAAATGACAGAGTACTTTGTTTGCGTGCGAACAATTGCGCTGTGGAGTCTGAGAGTGTTAGCGTCATGCCTCGTGTCAAAGATTTTTCGAGGCTGGTTTCCATATAGATATTTTCTGCGTGGTTACGTGTTTTCACTGTTTGTTTCCTGAGTTATGTTATCTGATAATTAGGAAGCGCGAAAAGGGTTATTCATAATAATATTAATAAATGTTCTCTGATCGTAAAACATTTATTTAATATTTTATGATGTGGCCGGAGCCGGAGCTCAGAGCTGTAATTCGGCCGGAGCCGGACATGAAAAACCGGAGTTTGCACAGCACTAGGTGGTGCATGAGGGAATCTTACTGTCCACTCTCCTCTGTAGTCTGCAACGCTACTATCCCAACATTACCGTTATTTGAGATGGCCGAATCTGCATGTTCGCCGCTCTGTAACAGAACTTCTGTTACGTTCTACAATATATTTTGTTTATAAAGTTTATATCGGCTTTTTATCGCGTTTGCGTGACCGGACACAATATTAAAGTACACTATATTTGAAAATATGGCTGTATAACAACCTCGACATGTTTAGTTAACCAAGATATTTAACTAAAGCATTCTGAGTATTTTCTCGTAAACTTACAAATCACTTAAATCGTTTCAAGAAATCGACACGCGTTAACAGAAGAAGTTCCGCTAATCGCTATTCGAAGCAGAAAATATCTGGTCGAGCAGATTTGATTTTGATAGGGTGGTGCTGGACTTCTCTATATACACACGTAAAAACGCACAAGTTGTTACAAGTCTGCAAACAAGTTGTTACAAATCTGTTCACAAGTTGTCTTCGCACTGCTTGTTCCCAGTTGTTGTAACAAGTTTGGAACAAGCTGTTAACAACTTGTAACAAGCTTGATGGCATTATCAATTTATCAGACTTGTCACAAGGTTGTTCTAACAATTCTGACACAGTCGTGATGAACAAGAATGTTACAAGGTTGACGACACAAGCTTGTAACAATATTGTTATATCATGACTGTATCGGACTTGTCGGAACAACCTTGTAACAAGTCTGATAATATCAACAAGGTTGTTACAAATTGTTAACAGCTTGTTCCAAACTTGTTGACAACTTGGGACAAGCAGTGCGAACACAACTTGTTGACAACTTGTTGGCAGACTTGCTACAAAATGTGAGATTTTTACGCGTGTAGTAGGTGTCTAGCACACAACTTTTCTGAAGTGGATATACCAATATTTATAGTTCACGCAGATGGAACAATATCTTGCGCATTAATCATATTCTTCTTCTCTGGCATGATGTAGAACTTTCTGAATATGGCGAATTGCACATATACTTAGATAAATTACGTACCTTTTGCATGGAAAGCGCGGCATGAATAACATCATACATGTGAAAGGTTATTTCATTAAAGTCCGTCACGTGGCGCATAGCGAAAGCGACAACGTGTTTTTTGTCATCATCAAGACGTTTAATATTACCAAGCACACGAACGTAGGTGTCTTCCCTAGCACAGAAAATGAAAAAAGATGAAAATAAGACCTCGTTTACACCATAGCAAATGATTCCGGATTTGCACACAAGCCAGTGTTGCGACACTGAGGGGGGGGGGGGGGAGCGGGGAAAGGCCAACGGTGTATCACCAGGTCTGAAGGAAAGCATGTGAATACATTTAAAAATCACATGTTAAATTAGAGCAAAACGCGAACAAATTTCAACAATACTACAAAGACCACATGCAAAGAAATAGAAACACAGGATCAGTGTTATCACGACAGGGTGCGATAATTCAAGATGTTTAGTCGTATCTGACTGGTACGCCAATGATTATTGCCGTACTTGCGCTAGTACAAAATCAATACTCGATGTGTACTTAGTCTTTAAAATAAAGTATATAAAATACAGGGGCTGAAAATGTCAGGAAGAGTCAAACTCAAGGACTTTTTAAGAACATTCAAGGTCATGTATCAGCGAATTCAAGGACTAAATACTGAAGAGAAGGCGCTAGAAATCAGTAAAATTACAGCTTTGTCCGATATGAACATGCAAAATCAGTTCAACAAAATCTCCGTTTTGAATGTCAAACAATTTCAGAAAATATCCATAAACTAAAACAAGAAGAATTTAAGGACTTTCAAGTACTTTTTTACAAATTCAAGCATAAACTAAATTCACCAAATCGTATAACCAGACGCTCTAGTTCTACATCAGGACTCCTTCTTCAGATTACCAAATCAAAAACAGCAACCTTTCAAAACAGTTTTTATATCAGAGCATGCAGAACGTGGAACACTCTACCAATATCTTTAAGAAACTTAACTTTATTGTCTTCGTTTAAACGTTGTCTATTTAATTACTATTTTTTGTTAACTTCTAATGTTTATAACCCAGAATTGCCGCACACATACAAGACTGTCTGTGTCAATTGTCACAAAGCCCGTCCTTTGGATTCACTCAGTGACACTTTGTGCTGCTAGTGCCCTTTCTTTATATTATGTGATGACTTTTTGTTGTTTTTTGTTGTGATGCACTATTTAGTGTTTAACTCTTTGTATACAATATTTCTATGTATTTTACAACTCACGCGGGGAACCCGTTATTGGAGCTTCGGCTCTGTGGGTGCGCCCTTCCTGTGTTTGGGTAAATTAAATAAATAAATAAATAAATAAATAAATATTCATGCCCTTGAATTTTTGTTTTCAAATTCAAGGACATTCAAGGACTTTCAAGTTTTTTACGAACTCTGCTACGAGTTAAAACAAGAAGCACAATATTGCACGCATAGACAAAAACTCGACTCCAATATTTCTTAGCGCCATCAGTCCAATCATGTTTTATGCCAAGACATCTCAGACTATGATATACCAACTAAATTACGGTATTAAATACCTTGAGCTTGGAAAGGTCATATGGTGCCAGCAAAAAGTAAGTACGCAGTACCTACGTGGTATTTGGCTAAAAACAAAGAAGTACCAGACCGTAATATTGGCGTACCTCTGGTACGTACGTAAGTACGTGAATTATCGCCCCCTGCGACCGAGCTATTTTAATTGTGATCATTAATAACGAGTGGTGGTATTCTGGAGTGCACATGAGCATCTTTTTATTCCGGTCAGAATCGAAAACTGGCCGTGACGGGTTACGAAATTTTCGAGTTAAGTCATTCAGTCAAGCCCATTTCGAGTTACGCTCCCGACACGCCTTTTTCGCCAGAGGTTTGACTAGATCACCAAAAGGCCGATTTCACGATTCGAGTTAAGTCCCCACGAAAAGAAGGGGATTACGGGTCAAGCTACGACATTCCAAGGATGTAAGCAAGTGATAACAATACAATATCACAATTACTAGTTGATATATATATACTTTTATTATACATTTAATATGTATTCTCGTTTCTAATTGGTCAGAAAGCACCGGCTAATTTTCAGTATTCGGCATTTATTACGTATTTTCCGCCGATGACGTCATCAGCGTCCAATAATTGTTTTTTTGGATCGAACTTGCATCCAAAAAAAAAATATTGGACTCTCTCGTGCCCAAACCCTTGCGCGGCCAAAAGCTTGAACCTATAAGCGCGCGAAAAAAAAAACAAACAATGGCCTACAGCAGATTTGCTTCGCTGATTGAAAGTGAACTCTCCAAATTATTGGCAGATAAGGACAGTGAAAGCACGAAAAGGGGTAAATAGAAGTAGAAATAGAATATTTAGCTGACCTTTGACTTTGTGCAAGGTGTTTGATATTCAAATTGTACTTTTCCTACCTCGTGAACAGGAATTTGTCGTTTTAATGTTTCTCATGTCTTTAAATGTATAATAAAACAATTATTGGATTCGGCTTTCGCATGATATCAAGAATTATTCAGACCTCGGTCTATGTTATCCGCCTCAGCTTCGCTTCGGCAGATAACATTGACCTCGGTCTGAATAATTCTTGATATCATGCTCAGCCTCATCCAATAATTGCTTATTAATTGTGCTCTTTCTTGTTCTAAATCTTAGTTTCAGGTTACTTTATGACTATCTTATTGTACGTTTTACTTTAAAAGGAGGGGTGGACAAATTTCTAGTGGGGTGCAAGTGGCAGTGTGAGCGAGCTTCGGGCAGGGGTGAAGCGAAATTTTGGTGGGGTTGAACACTTTATAAGAGGGGTTAGAGAGATTCTGGGTGGTTTAACCCTCTCCCCCCAGTAAATCCGCCCATGAAAGGAAGTACAACTAAAAATCTTTTATTTTCGCATCCTGCATTGGTGCACCTTTAGCCATAGTGACAGAAACACACTTCATAGTACTGGTTCTTGGGTAGGTTTCACTATAATGAACGAAACAAGTTACCTGAACCTGGCTCGTTCGTATTCTTCAGCATTCTCCTACAAAAGAATAAGTTATACATTGTCTAAATAGCTGCACAATAACTCGCATAAAAATACTTCTAAATTATAGGTGACGGTTAACCTCATAGGCCTCAGAGGTGGCTACGGACGGTCCGCTCGCTTTGTTTACCTATTTACATATGGAATTATGCAATACAGATAGTTAACAGATGGCAATGAGAGTGTTATTGGGGGGGCCCAGCGACAGCTATAGGGTTGTTGACGTCATGCCTATATAAGGGTGGGAGCACTTACATTAGATGTCATGTGTGCTCAGCTGTCTGCTAGATATTTGCACGAGCACGCCCCTCCCTCTCCTGTGGGAATATTCATAAGCTCTTCTAGAGTTGCTCCCATCGGTTCATTTTCATAATCGATTAGTCGTTATTGACAATCGAATCGATGACAATCGATTAATATCGATTTAACTTTGACATGTGCCTCCTTTGTTATCACCCAACAATTCGCTTAGTATTTATATTTGGAATTATTGTTTACTTAAGGTTACAGATTGCTAGGGATGCTGTGCCTTATCCCAACAGCAGTACCTTATGCCTATAGCCTTGTCTCTGGTCTCTACAGTGTTGCCCTATCACTATAGCATTGCCTTAGACCTGCAACATTATCATTGTAGCGTATGCCACATTGCCTTAACACCGCGGAAAAACGTCTGCGCATGCGTCAACCTTACCTGTAATAGTATTGCGAACTTGATGAGAAGCTGTTCCGAACGTTTCCGAAGGCTCAAAATGGCGGTAAAAAGGAGTGACTTCATTGTGCGTCTTTACAGCCAGATTTCAAGCGCAAAAATAAACATATCATTCTAAAAACTAGAAATAAATACAACCAGAAGGTTCAAGAAATTGTATTGTACAAGAACATGAACTAAAGGTGATTGTTGACAAATTTATCGTCTGAAACATTTTGTTTATCAACTAAGCAATGACAATTTCCGAATTTTCGTTTGAGATACATTTCTTTAAAAAAAAAACTGTGTCGCCAAATATAAAAAATTTGCGTGTTCACAATAATTAAGCTTTAGGATTTATTCTACAATTTGAGTGGGTTAAGAAGCTTAACTTTTCGAGAGTTTTCTTAACTTTTTAGTTTGAATTTTTGTTTTGAATAATTTTGCAAAAATTTTCGAAGTCGTGTCCGTTAAAATCAACATTTTTTTACATGAATTATATTTCATTCCATACTTTAAATGCTAGGACGCTTTCAATTAATGTCTAGTCTACCCATTTGCTATATTTTCTCGTTTGTTTTACTAATTTTTGACCAATTAATAAGCATGTTTTTGTTTTAGAAATTGATATTCAAATTCCCCGCCATATTTTCATAATTTGGTGCATGCGCAGACGTTTTTCCGCGGTGTTGGTTGCCTTATACATTGTCTTATTGTCTATTACCTTGCTCTGTGTGCACAATTGTACCGCCTGGGCAGGGTTATTTAGCTCATTCCTTGCAGCTTTGTTGGGGAAAGTGTTAACATTTACGGAGCTTTCCCGTGTTTTTAATTATGCCATTATATTTCCTCGTGCCACTGGGTTATACTTATAATACTCTAAGATATCATATCTTAGAATACATTGATATCGAAGAACTAGACTCAGTTCCGAAATATCACCAACTTGAACCGACTTGACCTCGTAGCTCAGTTGGTAGAGCATTGGACTAGTATATCCCAAAGATCGCGGGTTCGATTCCCACCGTGGTCAGGCAAACTTTTCAGCTTGCCCGGTGTGGATGCACACTCAGAGTAACATCACAAACATCATGTACATACATCTTGATCAAGCCAACGCTTGACTGAGACAATTCCTCCAGTCAAATCACCAATTTCAAACGACAAATGTGTTCGATTCTCCGTAACTGACAACACCATACCAATGAAAGTGACCTGGACACACAAAGCGATAATGTTAGAGAAAGTAAATCATCCTGAGGCCTTGACAACTTCGTGCAACCGTCCAGACAACAGCGTGGATTATAACAATGGGCAATTCCAGCTATAGACTAAATTTTGATCAAGGCAAGAAGTACAAAATCCATCACCACAGCTGAAAAGAGCATGTTAAAATTAGTAAAATCGCAAAGTTTGGCCGCGAAATGTTGTAAAATGCGGAAAATATAGCTCTGCGAAATTTGCGAATTTTGTATTAATTTGTATTACGCACGGGAAAATGCACCACATTTGGGCCGAAAGTGGTGCAAATTCCCGTGCGTAATAATAATTAATACAAAATTTGCAAATTTCGTAGGGCTATATTTTCCTTATTTTACAACATTTCGCAACCAAACGTTACAATTTTACTCATTTTAACATGCTCTTTCTAGCTGTGGTGATGGATTTTGTTCTTCTTGCCTAGATCAAAATTTGGTCTATAGCTGGAATTGCCCATTTCGCTTGGGTCCGACAAATGTCCGATCAAATGTGCTGATGCTCGGACATTGGCTAATAATGGCATAGAATAAAGATCCATATAGAAGGGCCACTTATGTCGGAAGCTTTGAAGTTTCTGTCCTCGCGCATGTCGCATTACGCATGTTGGCAGCCATTTTCCTAGCCAGTCAATGACATTTTCTGGCCAATAAACACGCTGTACTGGCTGGCTGCTCCGCCTTCTGGCCAGTAAAGTGCATATTTTTGCATAAAAAAACGCGGACACGTTGCACCGCTGAGTGGCCCTTCTGTTACTGATCTTTATTCTGTGATAATGGTCAGCTAGCTTTTCAATATTTACATTCAATTGACGAGATATTAATTTGAAAGCTCGATACATATGAGTCAAGTTTTAGGGGGAGTTACTATTTTTAAACTATTAGGGTTAGGATTAAGAATGCACGAAATAGCGTTTCTCAGCCTTAGAAAATCAAGCTTTTATTAATAGAACAACACAGAATAATAAGTTGTTGGTAATAAGTTAACACAAAATAAGTTGGTATTTTCTATTTTTACAAAAACAAGTTTGGAAGCAGGATCTAAAGCAACAAAAACATTTTCAATGGATAAACGGGGGGTTAAGAACATCAAGAAACAATACCTGGTGCATTGAAGCTTCATTCAGTACAAAAGCGTCTACATCAGATTGATATTTTGCATTAAGTATGCCCGCCACAGTGATTGGGACAACAGCTGTACTTTTTTTTTCTTTCTAAAATGTAAATGCATGGTCATAAAAAATAAAACTGTTAGTAGTATATTGGTAATCTACAGTACAATTTTAGATTGAACATTGAATATTTATTTAAACATGTTAAAATCTTCAGTGTAGGTACTATTTAAAATAAATTTTACGTCTATTGAACTAATTTTAATACTAGTCAGTCAAATCTTTATTTAACCACGGTATAGCTTCATCAGGTTTACAAAAAAAGTTATCTACATTAATAAGTTTAAAAATTGTACAAGCCTATGTTACATTTATCACTTATTTACTGAGACCGAGGGAAACAGTGTGTTTTGTGGACCCGAGACCAAGAGAGATTTTATTATTGACCGGTCAATAAATGTTTCATTGCGGACCGGTTGCCGAACACGACGTTTTGTGGACCGGCACGTGACACGGTTTTTGACCAATCGGTAAACAGAAAAATTGAACTTTGACACTAACTATATAACAATAACAATTATAGCTACCTGTTTTCCATGAATACTAATTATACCTGTTTCCCGTGTCTATCGAATATGATGTTTCAACAATTGTCGAAATTCAGTGAGCCGAAAGTGGTTATTTTTACCGCGCGTAACACAATTATACAGTATACAAAATTTGCGAACTTCACAGGGCTAAAATTATTTTCTTCATTTTACAACATTGCAGTTTTACTCATTATAAGATGCTCTTTCTGGCTGTGGTGTTAGATTTCGTTCTTCTTGGCTAGATCAAAATTTAGTCTATAATTAGCCCACGTGCAGGTCTACTGAGGGAGGAATAGTGGGCCTGCAAGGAAGACCGGGTGTTTTGTAAAACGCCCCTTTTCTAAACACGCCCCATTTGCGCGTCAATTGTCAAAAAAGAACCAATGACAGCAACCCAAATAGTGAACAAACTCGCATTAAAATGTTGTGGGGTTTTCAAGAACTCGACGAAAGAAGAGAGCGTTCAGAGTCCAGATCGTTTCAAACGGCAATTACTGTCTTCTGTTTCGCCATCTCAGCGAAGCCCTGCAAATCGCAAAGTGTTTCGAATAGGCTTACATGCAACTGCCTCTAAATGTTCACCACGAAAAGCGCTGTTTTCTTCAGTGCAAGGACAGAGTCAACATCAACCAAAATATAATTTTCTTGAGGAACATATAAACGTATCAAATCTGTTTGAAATTGATGAACCTCAAGTAAAGGTTACTATAGTTTACCCCAGTGATAATGTTGCTATTCCAACACTACACGACAAGCAATCCCCGTTGGCATAACGGTAAAAACATCTCTTCCTTCACGTACACAATAAACAGTCTGTCCTTGTTCCATTTTTAATCGAAAAAAGTTATCTGGTCCAATTTTACGCTTATCGAGAGCCTTTGTGATAAATCACTGATCTAATTATAGAATCCAACAGCAAACAGCCAATCAGAATGCTGCGTTCATGTGCGAACGCGACAAACACAAAATACCCGGTCTTCCTTGCAGGCCCTCCCTCAGTGGGCCTGCATGCGGGCTAGTCTATAGCAGGAATCACCATTGAAGTTTACACATTACCTTCATGCGTTGTTGAGATGCAGGTGATTCACCAAATGTTCCATCCAGAAATCCACCACCTGCTCCAGGACTGCTGAAGGATGACATCTGAAAAGATTCAGTCATAATCAGATATTCAGATTAACAAACAGATAAGATTTTGCCACTGTCTGTTCAGTTATAGATACACATTATGACATCATACTGTGTATCTCTAACTGAAGAGACAACGGCAAAATCTTATCTATTTGTTTTATATAATAAAAAGAAAAACCCTGAATTAATAGCTTATACTTTTTATCCACCCAAACATTTGGAAATTTGAAAAAGTCAAATTTTACAAATATCATGTATACAGTGTACATGATCTATACAAGTAAGGGAATGTTACTGGCTAGCTTAAGTCACATGTTATGTTGTGATTGGCTGCACAGAACAAAGTTTTGTGTGACGTAATTCTGTGCGTCTGTCCTCTAATAGATCATGGCTTTCGACCAATGAAAGCGCTTGAATTATTAACGTTACTGTATAAATGTAAATAGACGCATGTATATAGACAGTTGGTCTGAAATCTTAACCCTTTCACAAAACTTTCCCTTTGATGAGTAAAATTTCTTCGTGTCTGAGTTAAATAATAAAATTGGGCACATTACGGCACAATGCAACTTAATGAGTTAAAATCTCCAGTCTTTTGGGAGATTTACATTTTATGTTTATAGGATTTCCAAGTAGGCTGGAAATTGTTTTGCTTTTATCGTAACATCAAAAAAATACAATGCTTTATTAGAATCACTTTTCACACTTGTCACTATATTTTGACAGCTGTTAGTAGAACAATTTCAAGCACAGTATTCAAATTTTACTTCTGCAAGAAAGGCTTCATGATCTTTCAAAGTACAGTACGCAGCTGTGATCAATACGCTGCTGTCCTCAATGCAGGAAGGAATATTGTACTAATGAAATAAGTTTTGTATTATGTATAAGAATGTTTGTACATTTTGTGTGTTTGATAATTTAGCTGAACAAGCTAAGCTTAGCTACAGTATAGTTTCAATGGGATGAATGAGGATTGGAAAAAGCAAATAAATCTTGGTGCACCCTACTTTATTATCTTACTCTGTCAATGGGTTAATCACACTACCTGCACATGCATCTACCTCGTTCCCAGGCTCTTCCCTCTTGTTAGGGTCTTTCCTCCAACAAGAGGGAAGAGCCTGGGAATGAGGTTTCACATGCATCCGCTTATCCTTCTTTGTCAATGGTTAGAAGCAAGATGGATATACCTGGGCTTAAAAAATAGGCGTACGGACAGACAATGAAATTAGCTTGGCGTACGCCAGGACTTTCAGACCAGTATGATCGTGTTCACTTCCTACCGCACCTCAGAGATGTACCGTTACCCCTTTCTGTTTTCCTTAAATCCCTTCAGACAATGTACAAACATTTGCCTCTCACCCTGACCCTGGAATAACAATATATTTGTAACAATGAAACATGAAACGTTGATCTAGAAACATCAAGTTCACTGTTCACTGCTGGAATTCCATCTAAGTTTACATCGTTTAAATTAAGGATTTCAAACACATTTATTTTTATACAGGAATTTTATAAGAAAACTAGTATACAAAATTGTACTCGAGTTTCGGCAGCCGCTGGCTTACTTTGAAAGCCCTGGCAAGAAGACCAATAGGGGGAACTGTTGCCAGGGTAGCATGGATTTGTAGTATGAATTTGTTTGTGTTTATACAAGAAAATTTAATTAATCCCTCGTTTCAGGATTTTATTGTGATGAGCGGTTTTACAGAATGCCGAATTTCACTGACTTGAACCGGTGCTGTTAGCCAAACAAAATTGGTCATATGTTATTTACTCATTTGTTTTCAGTTGTTTTATGGCACTTCTTACAATGCAAAACAAATTACAATGTGACTTGACAAGGGATGTTGCTATGAAATGGCAACATATACCAGTATAGAGAAAATAAAATGGGTACATTAGTCGACCCAAACTCTGTTTAAATAGTGAGAACAAATTAAAAAGAAGGAAAACATGCTGAAATTCTGAAGATTTGTATTTCTTTAAGCCTGGGCGTATTCACACTGCAGCTTTCTTATTATAATCACTACCTACACCAGCACAGTTCAAGGTTAGTTCAGACAAGCAATTTATCTCCTGGTGGATGTGACGGAATGCGTAGTATAGAAGAAATGTATACTCCCAAAAAGCGACTACGTACATTTGGCTGCGGGTTCATTCATTCGCATCCATCAGGAGACGAAAATTGCCCAGAAAATTGCTAGTGTGAACCGGCTAAGGCTTTAACACTGTCTTATATTCCTAGAAGTGTAGGATAATTGCATCGTAACTTACCTTACGGTCCCCAAATTGATTTTCTATAAAATCATAAAGTGTCATGTTAATTTCACCACAATACAGTACCTGCATGAGGAATGCTTTAGAATAATTTAAAGTAACTCACATAAACGTTTTTACCGACTGTGTCTTATTTCATAGCACCAAAGAATTTGGGGTGATTTACTGTAACTTATAAGCTCTTATTAGACATCATCGTCAAATTGCAATGTCCAAATGGTGTTTGGCTAATGACCTCTATCAGTTTGTTAGGAATCATAAGCCTTGGCATTTATTTAAAAATAGTATGTCTTTGCACTTGTGGTGCACTTGTTTTGTGCATGCTCCACAGCATTACTATAAAAACATATACTGCTATAAAAATGTATTTTTTCGAATGTATTCAACAAGCTTGTCGGTAGCGTATTAAGCGTAGCCAGTACAGGCATTTGCGTGCGTGCAAAGTTAAACAAGGTACAGATCGACTTTTTCGAAAGTATGTCCGACTGTTCTTGTCGGACTTAGAAATTTTGCTCAAATTTTAAAACTTTTTTTTCCCGACTTTCTTTTAATTCTCAATCAAATGGTTAGGGTTAGAGAAGCGTCTGGGGTTGGGAACAGTTTATTCATAAAAATTCAACTTTAAGGCCGAGGGAATTAAAGTCATAGAATACCGTCCTCTGCCCCATTTCTAAAATGCTGCCGCAAAAAAATCGTTATTTCAAAATTTTTCATTATTTCAAGAATTATCTATACTTTAAACTATAATTCGTCGCAGAACTGCCAGAAGTCATGTATTAAGGGCAAAGTCTACTTGTACGGCAAACCTCCATTCACATAGGCACTCCTCAACGCCATATGAACGATGTCCATATTATCGACGATGTCTGCAGTGTTCCGAAAGTGTTACGATGTTCAGAGCAACGTTGGAAAAGCAATTTGCTTATTTGCTTTATTTATACGACATTGGGAGAAACAAAAGTGAAAAGTAAATATTTTTAACAAAATTAGCACACGCTTTTGGAAAATAAATTATGATATCATAATTTAATGCATGACTGATTCACCTTAATGACTACTGCTTGCATATTTGTGGATGAGCTAATTGTACCAAGACTGATTTTCTTTATTTAAAGGATTTAAATTCGCTAAGCAAAAGTGAAAAGTGTGTTCGCAATGAAATCTAGACAACGTCACGTTTGCTATTAATATTGCTGAAGTTAAAATTGTTTTGGCATGTTCGGTCTTTTGGTAATAAATTTAGTAATGGTTCTTTATGACACATACTCAATTTTTTTCTTTTATGGGTTTTGGTCAGGAACTACTGTATGTCGGCTCAAATTGCAATCCGAATCATGGAAGGATATATTACTGAACGGGTCTATTGATGTTCGACCAATTTTAGCACATTTCTAAAAATAATTTAATCACTATTTTGTAGTTAAATAGTGATTAACTCTCATTAATCAGTGATTAACTATGATTAACTTTAATCACTTTTTTATACAACCGGCCCCTGGTTTGATATAAACTCGCATAATTGGCAAAGCACGAGCAATTAACATCATCCTCAACCTGTGTCAGATTTTTTAACTCCTATGGAACACATGAAGGAATCATTGAATTTTGGTCTGAAAACTTTTTAGGAGACTTCTTATCTCTAGAGCAACGTAAACAACAGGTGTAACCATGTGGGGATTTAGGTTTTGATTTCAATGGCCATGCTTCTTTACAAACACAGCATTGATATATACAATACTGAGTACGTTTGGCAAATTTTTTTACATTAGCTTCAGCCCAGGTTTGTTTATGAAGACAACCATTTTTGACAACATCAAATTCAGGGATGCCGGAACCACGGGTGCAGTGGGTGCAAGTGCACCCCTTGCATTTTGCATTTTCAACTTTGTGGGTGCAGTGCGGGTGCAGAATAAGGGTGCAACAGGTGCACAAAGTGCCCTTTTTTTGCATGAAAAATTCCCATTAAAATTGCATTTTTTACCCCTAAATTGGTACACTGACTGAAAGGGGGTCGCAAAAACGGAGGTCGCAAAAAAAAATTTTTAGATACCCAGCTTTTATTTTCATTAGTGCCCTTTTCTTAAGGAATATGCCCTCATGTTAACCAATTGCACCCCTTGCCCTCAGCAACTTCCGGCATCGCTGATCAAATTCTTTCAGATATTGTTCTTGATTTACTACATTTACTACAGTTTCAGGCAGGTTTTCCTCTTCAAGTCTAGATTGTGTTTCTGCATTCTGACGACGCCTTTTCATGTTTTGCCTATTCTTTTCAAGCCTAGTTTGCCTTTCTAGATCAGTTTCCAATGAGCGTTTTCTATTCATATAGAGCTTTGCATTTTCAAACCTATAGTTTGCCTTTCTAGATCATTTTCTAATGAACGTTTTCTGCTAACGGTATGTTTTGCTTTTTTAAGTCTAGCTTGTTTTTGTTCCACAGTTTCTTTTGAACGAGATTTATTTAAATACTCTTTTGCTTTTGCCCTTTTAATTAGCTGTTGGGCTTCTGTTTCTACTATAACATTTTCAAGTAGCAAATTACTTTCACTCATGCTATAATCACGACAGGCATGGTTCAATTGCACAAACTCAACAGGTGTGATATCAAATGCATTTCGATTTAAAAGACATGACAAAGAGTGCAAATGATACTCTAAATCATCAATATATTCTCATACGACATAACAATAGCTATGCCATTGCAAGGGGGATTAGGCATCCCATGCTCGTCTCTGCCATGCGAGTCAAATACATAAAAGATAGAGTATTTTCCAAAAATAATACCTATCATATAGCCTTGCAATATCAATATAGCATATTTATATTGTGAAAAAGTGTCCATCAACGCTGAATGAAGTGTAACATAAGGAGTGTCAACAGTCTCAACTCCATCATTGTTTGCAATGAAACCTTGCAAGAACTGTCCATGTTTAACATGGGTAGATTGGTATTTTGCAAAATAGCAGTTATGCTATTATTACTGGTGCTTAACGCTGTCAAAATACATCTAAAACCTTTTCCACATCCAAGTACACTTGGTAAGTTGGTTACTGACAAAAGTTCTGTGTTCGGGATAATCCAAGTGACAAAATGTTATCGACAGTTTGACAGTTCCACTCGCACACAGGAATTGTTTGTTCAACAAACAGAGCTATTAGACTAATAAATAAGCACTGTTTCGAACAAAAATCGTTACTAAAACGTTCATCACCTTGATGGAATGATGGACACTGTTACGAGCCGGTCCTTACTATTTTATTTGGCCGCGCTTTTGGTTCAATTTGCTCGCAACAAAGATTGTGAAACCAATTACTTTCAATGATATATTTATTTTCTTACTTGTAGTCTCATATATTACTCAATAATTAGCGTCTCTATAACTTTCCTTAATATATATAATGTAATTCTTAATACTGTTCAACTTATCTCTTTTCTGTCTGACTGAGCACAACTCTTTTGTCTTCGTCTTCTTCACGTAACTTCGCTTTTTAACTTCAATAACTCTTTCGTACATAACTTGTATAACTTGTAATAATCCTTCCAGTTCCTTAACAATCTTCTTTATAATAACTTTCCAAAATGATATTCACGTAAGGCACTGAGGCCTATGAATCATGTAAGGCGCGGAGGCTTATGAATCATGTAAGGCGTAAAATAAAAATACCTGTGGTTCCGGTTTCATATCGTGAAAAAATTAGAGTCGGTAGGTCGGAAATAAATTTTTTTTTAAATATTTTTTTCATGGTTTTGGCGGTTTTTTGCTGGGCGATTTGCAGTAAAGTTCCGACATCAATATTAACTAGAGATGCGTATTTCCTATGGACGAATTTAGGCAATTTGGTTCAATAATTAGTGTGACAACAAACGTCATTTTGGCACGCTGTATGAGCAGCCCGCAACCACCTGGAGAATAGGGTCGCACAGTCAATCGCGTTGAAAAAATAATAGGGTCGGCAGTAAAAAACCAGAGGAACTTTTTAACTTGCAGTGTCATTACTTGGGAAGATTTTTACAATCTTCTTGCGGTAACCATTCCCATCTGTTACGCACTTGTGGTAACCTAAATATTTGCTTGTTCATGCGTGACCGAGCTAAAAGAACTTCCCATGCGCAAAACAATTGAAATCCCATAGGTAAATTATTTAACTAACTTAGAGTAATATAATATAACTAAACTACGATATATATATATATGGTAAAAAGTATTAATTTATATTAATTTAAAAAATTCCTGGTTTCTGATTGGCTAACAGCCAACTGTGAAATTGTCATATCAACTCAATGGCTAACCAAATACGGATTTTTCACATTCATATTAGCAAAATGACGTCAAAGAGTCAATATGAAAAAAATTTGGACGCGTTTGCGCCATATTACTATGACGACGAGAATCATATTGACTCGCTGACGCCATTGATATGACGCAACGACGGCTGCCGAAGGACTAAGGAATTGTTTTTTTCTTAATACAAATAAAATACAAATGTTTGTTTTGAATTTTTTAAATAAAAAATAAAACAATTATTGAATTCGGTTTTCGCACAATATGAAGAATTATCAAGCCCTCAGTTTGCCGTTATCAACCTCAGCCTTCGGCTTCGGTTGATAACGGCAAACTTCGGGCTTGATAATTCTTCATATCGTGCTCAACCTCATTCAATAATTGTTAAATATATAATGTTGTAAAATATACATGATAATAGCTATCATGTACACAGCCCTTCAGGTATCCGTTTGAAGTCCTGGCTAATAATAATTTGGGTATGGCCAATACTGTTTTGCTCTACTGAGGCCGTCCGGCTATTAATTGATGAGCGAAGCGAGTATGCAAAGAATGGAAGGTCAAAGCTTCAAGGGCACTGGGAGTTGAGTGGTGGGCAATGGCTTGCAAGCTTTGTCTATTGGTATATTGTCTGAGTGCAAGACTGGGCTAAAAATGTCAGCTTGTCATGACTGCAAGTACCGGCGAATTACACACAGCCCCTGCGAATGGCTGTCAAATGTGTTCTTAGCACTGGCGAAATTTGCCGTTCGCCGGCCTAAAACAAGATGGGTGTGTACAACACTTCCACAGGTAAAAAGCGGCATTATATAAACCGTAGGAAAACAAAATAAAACTTTTTTACTTACCGAAAATGTTGGCTTGTCGGATACTTCAAACTTGCAGAAAAAAGAAACCACGAGGTGTAGAGTGCCGGCGTTAACTTTTACAGTAATCAGGGCGCTTGACAGTAATATTATGGTTTAGCACTCTATCAAACAAACACACATCAAAAACATCAAATCAAAATTTGCCAGCACTTTACATAGTTTGCGGGAGGAAACTGGACACTGCAAGTTTAGTGTGCTGCCTCCCTGGCGGGAGGCAGCAATAAATTGGAAGGTATTTATAGCAAGTCACTGTGCTACAGTACTGTGTCTGGTTTGCATCACGCTCTATAGCCATATACCAAGACAAAAAATTGATTACGCTATAAACTATAGCTAGATGGTGCAGCTGAAATGTACAATTTAATATATTTTGTCTTGTTTACAATAGATTTCAAAATTTTCTGGGGATCATGCCCCCATCTGGTCTCATCTAATTATACAGAATATGTGATCAACTTGAAAGGTCTGCTTGGGGATCTGTTTAATCTGTCGGTAGAAAATGGTCATCAGTGACACAGAATAAGAAGGTACAGCAGAAGTGTAGCTTGAGTCGGTTCCTTTATTGTTTTACGTCCACGAAAATTTTAACTCGTTCACGCCATCCTGGCTAGTACTAGTTTTTATCAGGTTTTGGTAGGTACAAAGTGCCGGTTGTACTAGCCAGGATGGCGTGATTGATGACGATCGAATCGCTTGTAAAAACGCGGATTATTCTGTGTCAATGATGTCTTAATATTGTAATCTACTATTTATGCACCTATCATTGTTTTCCCCCCGAGGGGGGGGGGGGGGTGCAGGCAACCCAGGGGACTTTGACCACACTATGAAGCACCAGTGAGGGGAATTTGACATCCGCCATATTGAAAGTTTGCGCGGTTTTGACATTAATTAAAATGCCTGGTAACAAGTATGGCAGAGAAGCAAGATCAAGTTTCATCGAAAAAGGTATTTTATACACAGTGTCTCAATTTTTACCAAGTTTAAACCAGTATAGACTGTACTGTATGTTCCCATTGGAAAACATATGTGTGCCTTGTTATCTTAGGAATATAGTGGAGAATTTTGACAGCCGTTCCCTCCCCAACAGTGGGGATTTTGACAACAAAATTTTAAAAATGTCAAAATACCTGGTTGTCTCAGGGGGAAAACATTGATGTAATATATGAACAACTAGAGCGAGTGTTTCACCGGGATATCCAAACACGAGAAAACAATGTATGAAAACACGAGCGCGAAGCGCGAGTGTTTTCATACATTGTTTTCGAGTGTTTGGATATCCCGTTGAGACACGAGCTCGAGTTGTTTATATGGCTTCTCAAATGAATCGAGACGTAACAGAATATTTTCGTTTGCTGATTTGAATGGAATTCTTAACCAAGCATAACGTAATTAGGAATTCTATTCAAGTAATTTTGCATGCGTAATTAAGATATTTGATGAAAACACTAGTGACTTTCATCAAGTATCCAAATGGCATCTTGTGATCAAATAAGTGATTATCATTGGCTGAATTGCTCATGAATTACTAATGAATTTGAGAAAGGTGCATTAATAAATCAAGATCGGAAACAAATTCAGAGGTCATATACTCATATTCTACTCATACGAAGGTATTATTATACAATATAGTTTATAAAATGCCTCTAGAAGACACTCAATACATACCACCTCCACCCCAGTTCATTGTTGTTGTTTCAAGAAGATTGAGAAACGAAATACAATAAAAAACTGCAGCTCACTTTGCAGGCGACGAACAAAATAATCAATATGGCTGAAATAAAACAAATGGCGGGAAAATTGCAACATGGCGGGTAATCGCCCCAGGTATCCGGCAAAGCTCCTCTACATTTGCATAAATTGCAAGCTTCAAAATTAATATCCACCGTAGGAAAGGGAAAACCTCCAGGATTTTTGCCCCAGACCGAGGAGGCAAAAAATAGCCGCCCGTGCGCACGTATATGTAGACTATAGAATGTTCAGTTCGTACATCATCAGAAAAAAGATCGATTGAATACAAATTTGGGCCATGGTCACAATGCAATACAATACAATAATTTATTTAAGCTCTCCCCAACGGGGCTTTTCGGAGCCAACAGTGCGCAAATTGTACCTAATTGCAAGAGATAAACTTCAACCATAGATAAAGGGATTACAGACTTTACTCTTTTCCTATTATACAATTATACAAAACAGCTGAAAATAACCGGAAAACTGAGCACTTCGATCATAGTCTATTAAGATACTGATGGTCTGGAAATTTGGAATCCCGGCAAACTGCAAAGACACAAAATACAGGGTGTCCCCACCACCCCCAAAACTATTGAAATAGCGTATTGTTAGATTTTGAACTGATGTTAGATGCTGAACCCACAAGTGCATAAAAGCTTGACATAAGTAGAGGTTATGCGTAAAGAAACTGTTTTAAGAAGCTGCTTTAAATCCCCAAGAGCAGAAAATCGTCTGCTTTACAAAGATATTTTAATTTCTTAATACTGAGTCGATATTTAATTTATGCACCTTTGCGTTCAGCTTAGTTCTCTGGCATTCAAATTCTGACAATACGTTATTTCAATAGTTTTTGGTTTTTTTGGGACACCCTGTATAACAAACACTTCTGTTTAGTTTCCAAACCATCATATTATATGCTTCGACGTATCTTGTGTTGTCAAACCGAATTGTCGACTACTTCACAGCGACTAAACAAATTTGGTCTACACTTACTCATCACACAATCAATCAGGAAAACGTCTGTTTATTTCAGATTCTGCCAGCTCCGGAGCTCCCTGCAGTGGAATTGGAATCCATTGTACTTCTCTTAGTTATTAATTAAACTGCAGCCCCTTTCTTATATACTAGGTCTAGTATAACACTTTAGTACATGCCACAGATGTACTTGATTACATTTCTAAAGAGTAGTCATTTTACATATTTTTCTTAAGGTTACAGGACACCCTTTTTGGCGTTTTGCGGAAAATCGCTACTGCGCGCTCAGTATCAGTCCGATTTTCATCAAATTTTCACCAAATGTTCTCCAGCGCATGCAAAATATGGTAAAGTTGTAAAATTAACAAACAATAAAATAATGTAAGAATTATTCAGGAAAATCTTAAATCGCGGTACCTTTACGCTTTTGAGTTGTGCTCCTGCTGGTTTTAAGATATATTTATGAAAATATCATTTTTATACAGTAAAATAGTTGTTCTAAAAAATGGTGTTCGGAAATTTTTGTTTATTTCGTCATTCCGCTGATATGACGATTTCTTTGACGACTGCAATATATTTCTGAATTGTTTGAGTGAATTGCTCTTTATTTTTAAAATATCCAAAATTAAAAAAAAGCCGAACACAAGTTTGAAACTGACGTATTTAGCTATGTCCTGTGAAAATTTGAGAACAATTGGTTAAAACCCGCAGGAGCACAACTCGTTTGAAAATCAGTAATTACCGTAAAATTTTTCGGGAGAAAATTGAATTTGAATAATACATTTTCACTGTTTTTCTTATTGCAGCGAAATGTATTTTACTAAATAACTCTGCGAGTTTTCAACATTTTTCGTTCAAAATTGGTCAGATAGTAGAAATAGTCTAATGCTTTCACTAAAACCAATAACAAAATTTTAGGCAAAATTAACACTCAAAGGTGTTCTGTAACCTTAAATCTTTATGTCGGCGCGCCAATATCCTGGTTCACATGTACGTGCGGTGTGTCGGCGGGCTATTATAATAATATAATAATAATCTGTTTAATTAATCACATTGCAGTCTCTACTGAATTACATGATTATAAGTAAATACATTAAAAATTAAATTTACAGATAAAATTGAGTTCAAACCGTTCAATGTTCGTTCTGAATAGTCAGTTTAAATCTGTCCACAAATTATAATTGGGTCCCTGAATTAATATACACGAGTACTACTAAATCAATAATACATTAATAATTATATTTGACAGTTATAAAATTTTGAAACCGTTCTGTGTTCGTCTGGAGTGACCAGCTTGATTCGGACCTAAGATTATAATTATGAGTATTTGGATGTATACGAGTTGCAACAACATCCTTAAGAGGATTTATAGGACCATTGTCAAGCTTCAATTTCCGAATAAATTGTTCACAGGAATTATGTCTACGCGTACTTAACTTTTTTAGACCAGTATAATTCAATGCGTCTTGATACGACATTTCGGGAAGCAAGATACGTAATGCTCTTCTCTGTATCGATTCGATAAGGTCAGACTGGCCTTGGGTTAGCGTTGACCACGCAGGTGAAGCGTACTCAATTCGGGACCGAATGAAGGAGGAATATATAGTGACAAGGTCTTTATCGCTTAACCCAGCCTTTTTTAACTTCCGCAATGCATAGAGTCTGGAATTTGCTTTTTTAATCACATAGTCGACATGATCACACCAAGATAGATCCTCTCTCAGTAGCACACCGAGCAGTTTAAAGGAGGATACTGATTGCACTGGCGAACCATCTATATAGATCGCATTTTCAAGTGGAAGGTGGTATTGGAGGAAGGATATTGTCATCTCCTTACATTTCTTACTGTTAAGCTTCATTCCTCTACTTGAAGCGTACTGGGATACATCATTTACGAGAATAGGTAGCAAGCTAGGAGAGCAACGTGGAACAATTTCTAGTGCAGTAGCATCGTCTACAAACTTTATCCGCCCATGCCAGTCCTGTAGGAGGGAATTGACCAAAATGGCAAAGAGAAGAGGGCCAAGTTTAGTTCCTTGAGGTAGGCCACCGTTAACGGGTTTCCATGAGGAAAACGATGGTCCGATTTTAACACACTGTTCGCGTTAGCAGTTCAACCAAATAATTCACAATTAATGTATGTATCAACGGCTGTAAACAATGATAGCGCAGGCATACCGCAAACATACCGCAGGAATATGTGAACCAGACTTATAAGCCTCCTTAAACAACTTTACTTTAAAGCCAGTTTTCCACTTCAATCGTATCGTACCGAAACGTAGCGTATTTCTTTGTTTCCTGAGCGGTAGCGTGGAACTAATGACGTCGCGGACACAAAAGAAAATGCTACGGTACGTTACGATTATACGATACGGTTGAAGTGGAAAACAGGCTTTAAGGCCGTTTTCCACATCAAACGTATCGTAACCTATCTTAGCATTTTCTTTTGTGTCAGAGTCATTAGTTGAACTCTGGTGCTCTGGAAACAAAGAAATACGCTATGCTACAGTACGACAAGGTTGAAATGGAAAACAGGCTTTAAGCCTGCAGGTTTCCATATGGTTGTAACTGGTCGTGAAGTGTTTGTCGTGAATGACTATAGTCAGTTATGCGTGTTGCCATATATATATATGGTTGGAACTGTCGCCATTTCGTACCCAGGGATGATCGTACAAGCAGCTGGCGGAAGTTTTAAAAAGACAAACACGGTCCTCCCAAAGGGGACCTTTGCCCCCCTGATTGTCGAAAAACTGTTGCCACGCTGTCGTTTTTCCGTTTCAAGTCAAAAATAGCACATTTCTAGGTATTGTTATCGATGAATGCTTGACATGGAATGACCATGTAAATTTAATAGCAAAAAAAATCACCAAAACTACCGGAATAATAGCCAAAATACGATATTTTACAAATTTAAATGCTCGAAAACTTATTTACTACTATGCTTTAGTCTATCCATACTTAATCTATGGCAACATAATTTGGGGGAATACATACAAAAATAGACTTAAAAAAATAATGAATATTCAAACAAAAATTGTAGCCTACGGCTTATGACATTCAACTCTTATTTGGCACATAGTGAACCGATTTTTAAAGTGTTAAAAATTTTAGACATTTATAAAATCAACGATTACTTAATTAGTTTATTTATGTTTCGATATAACCATATGAAAAACCTTCCAGAGGCATTCACTAATTATTTTGTGAATAATAGTCAAATTCACCAATATAATACAAGAAATAATACACAACTATACACAAGTCCTATAAAAGAACAAGTTACGTAAAGCACACTCTTTCTTATAAAGGTGTTGATATATGGAATGAACTTGACTCTAATTTGAAAAATATCACTTCTTATATCATATTTAAAAATGCGTTAAAAGAACACTCTTTAGAGCGAGGGGCATTTCACTCCAAAAATCCCGTACACTTCGTCAAAAAATCCGGAAAAAATCCGAACAAATCCGGAAAATCCAGCAGATTTTCTCTTCAAAAATCCGCTAAAAATCCGGGGAAAATCCGCTAAATCCGCTAAAAACTCCGCAGATTTTTAAAAATCCGAAAATCCCGTACGCTTCGTCAAAAAATCCAGAAAATATCCGAACAAATCCGGAAAATCCAAACAAATCCGGAAAATCCAACAGATTTTCTCTTCAAAAATCCGCTAAAAAATCCGGGAAAAATCCGCTAAAAAATCCGCGGATTTTTAAAAATCCGAAAATCCCGCACCCTTTTTTGGAGTGAAATGCCCCTCGCTTTAGAGGTCACAAACAATTAGACCATTATAATATTATATATGTACTTTGTAAATATATGTCCTTTCTTTTATTACTTATATTACCTATATATATATGTATATATATATATATATATATATATATATATATATATATATATATATATATATATATATATATATATATATATATATATATATATATATATATATATATATATT